TAGCTTCCATAACGGATCTTCTATATCACTTGAGTGTTTTTTTTGTTTTTAAGTTTTTTTTTTTTTTTTTTTTTTTTTTTAGTTAGAGAAAGAGCGTGTCCAAGTGGGGGAAGGACAGAGAGAATCCAACGCAGGCTCTGTACTGTCAGCATGGAGCCTGGTGCAGGGCTTGAACTCATGAACTGTGACATGACCCGAGCAGAAGTCTGACACCTAACTGAGCCACCCAGGTGCCCTGAAGTTCCTAAACTTAAGATTTGAATCAATCAGTTATGAACCCACTGAGGTATCCTTAGCATTTTTTGGAACAGTCTGAAAGCCACTGTTACCTACTAGAAGCCAGTGGCCTAGACCATTGCATTCAATAATAGGCAGGGTGCTCTAGGCTGGGAATCTTGGTAGCAACAAAGCACATCCCCTGTCCTCAGGCTTTTACACGGAAGTAGGCCAGAAGCAGAGGGAGTAAAGCAATGATCGTTGGTAGCTGAGTAGTCTCTAAGAGAAAAGGAAGTGAAAAGAAGAAGAAATGTAAAAAAACGCTGTAGCAGGCATAAGAAATTTGGGGAGGGTTTGCAAGGGATGAGATTTAGGATGGGACATAGAGGGATGGAAGAAGAATCAGCCGGTAGAATTGGGCTGGGGAAGGAAGCCTGTGAGAAAGGCAGAGAGATGGGGACTCTCTGTGGCCCCCATCCCATCTGTGGCCCCAGGCTTCCCATCAGAGCTGGCAGTGGGGGAGGGAAACGAGGCTGGAAGGCCGGTTGAGGTTGAGGGTGGGAAGCACTCTACTGCAGGTCGAAGTGTCTACATCCAGTTGCTAACAATAGGCAGGACTGAAGGTTACCGAGGAAGGGACTGGTATTAGATCTTGAGTCAAGAAACTTGAATCTTGCCAACAGGTACCAAAACCAAGAAAAATTAGTCCTTTTTCGCCCTAAGTCAGAACTGGCCCCAGGCAAGTAGTTACCGCTAGCTGGACAGATCGACGTGAGACCAGCGCTGTCCATGGTAACAGCTTTTGTGTGGCTTAAAGCTTTCATCCATTTTTCTCACAACCAATCCGTGAGAGGTGTCAGCCCCATTTGGTAGATGAGAAAAGCTGAGACTGCCTAGGTCAAGGTCAGGAGGGCCTTGAGACGCCAAGCCTTCTCTCCCGTGCCCACGCTGCCCAGAGGCTCGTCAGGCCCCAGAGGCTGGCGGCGCCTCCGGGACTCCCGCGGGGTCTTGGCTCCGCCTCATAGCCCCTCGCGCTGGAAGCCCCGCCCCCAGGAGGGACCCGCCACTTCCCCGACGTCCAATGAGACTTAGCTGGGGGAGGGACTGAACGTCATTGAGGGCCAATCTGATTGGGCCTGGGCGGAGCTGCGGCGGGTGGGAGCTGAGCGCCTGCACCGCGGTCTTCCCAGCCGGGGGAGAGCCCGGCGCGGGCGGCGCGCACGGGGCCCTGCTGTGCGCGCGCCCGCCGCCCGCCACCCGCGCAGCCCCTCGGCCCACTCCGCCCTTCGGGTCGTGGCGCCCGTCCCTCCCTTGCTCTCCCGTCGGCGCCCGGACAGGGGCTCGGGAGCCGAGCCTAGCCGGGGCAGGGGCGGGAGCCGCGGGACGAGCGCCTGAGGTGGGTGCGGAGCGGGAGACAGGGAGGCAGGGAGGCCGAGCGGGCGGGCGCCTGGGTACGCCCCGCCGAAGGACCCCGCGTCGAGGTGGAGAGAGGTCGGCCAGGTGGCGGAGCCCGGCTCCTGGCCTGCCTCGGTCCCAGGCGCTCGGGTCCGCGCCCTAGTCCCCCTCCCAGGCCACCACCCTCCCCTCTGGGGACACCTCGTCCCTCTGGCTGCCTGCGGCCTCCTCACCCCTCTTGCTGTTTGTCGCCTGTGCACCTGCCTTCTGGGCCTTGCGCTCGCACTGCCTCTCCAGGCCCGCCCCCCCCCCCGGGCCCCCCGCGCCCCCGGCCCCCCCCCCCCCCCCCGCAGTCTTACCTCCTCAGGACCCAGCACCAAATTAGCCTGGTTCCTTCTGCTCCCATCCGTCCCTCTTTGTCGTCTGTACACTTGTCACCTCAACTCTTCATCCACTCTGCCCCCTCCTTCTCCCCGAACCCCCCCTTCCCAACATCCAGCCCAGGCCATCATCCCTCTCCCCCTCCCAGGGACTCCTCCCCCCAGCCCTGATTGTCCCCTACACCTGCCCCACTCAGCCCCAGCCCCATGTCCTCCCCCATCCATGCTCCTTTGTTGTCTCTGCAGCTGTCCCCTTGGCTCTATCCATCCTTCTCCCCAAAACTCTAGCCCAGACTCCTCCGTCTAACCAGTGAGCCACCCCCTCCCCGGTTCTGTTCTGCCATCCCTCCTGATCTGTGCCCAGCCCACGGTTCCCTCGGCCTAGCCACCCCCTTCCTTCCAGCCCAGCCCTCTGAACACCTACCCAGTGTACGCCCTCACCCTCTCCCAGCTGGCCCAGTCTTCCCCGGGGTCTCCCCTACGCCAGCCGATTTCCCTGTCCTCATCCATCCTCTTTTCCTGCCTGTGCTCCTCTCCCATCCTCCTGGCCTCAGCCGGCTGTACCCCCGCTCACTGTTTCCTCCCCCGACAGGTGCCGTGGAGAAGCCATGGAGCTGAGCAGCAAGAAGAAGTTGCACGCCCTGTCCCTGGCCGAGAAGATCCAGGTGCTGGAGCTGCTGGATGAGTCCAAGATGTCCCAGTCGGAGGTGGCCCGGCGCTTCCAGGTCTCCCAGCCCCAGATCTCACGCATCTGCAAGAATAAGGAGAAGCTGCTGGCGGACTGGTGCAGCGGCACGGCCAACCGGGAGCGCAAGCGCAAGCGGGAGTCCAAGTACAGCGGGATTGACGAGGCCCTGCTCTGCTGGTACCACATCGCCCGGGCCAAGGCCTGGGACGTGACGGGGCCCATGCTGCTCCACAAAGCCAAGGAGCTGGCCGACATCATGGGCCAGGATTTTGTCCCCAGCATTGGCTGGCTGGTCCGCTGGAAACGCCGGAACAATGTGGGCTTCGGGGCCCGGCACGTCCTGGCGCCTCCGTTCCCCCCCGAGCCACCTCCCCCGGGCCCCACGTCCCAGGCCCAGCCTCCTCTTTCTCTCAAAGACTTCTCCCCCGAGGACGTTTTCGGCTGCGCCGAAGTGCCTCTCCTGTACCGGGCAGTGCCCGGCAGAGGGGGCGCGCGCGACCGGGTGCAGGTGCTGCTGTGCGCCAACAGCAGAGGCACCGAGAAGCGGCGCGTGTGGGTCAGCGGGCTCCGGGCCGCGCCAACGTGCCTCTTCGGGGTCAGCGGTGCGGCTCTGCCGGCCTCCTACCACCCCGACCTGGGCGTCCCCTGGTCAGAGTGGCTGGCCCAGTTTGACAGGGACATGGCGCGGCAAGGCCGACAGGTGACCCTGCTGCTGGCCGCCCGGGTGGCGGAGGGGTTGGCCGGCCGGCCCGGGCTCCGCCACGTGCGGCTCCTGCCTCTGGCCGCCGACGGCAGCACGCCTTCGCTGCCCGGCTCCGTGGTCCGGGCCTTCAGGACCCACTACCGGCACCGCCTGCTGGGCAAGCTGGCTGCCGTCCGGAGCAAGAGGGCCGGCGCCTCGCTGGCCGAGGCCGCGGCGGGCATCACCGTGCTGGACGCGCTGCACATGGCGGCGGCCGCCTGGGCCAAGGTGCCCCCCCAGCTCATCGGGAGCAGCTTCGTCCAGGAAGGGCTGGCTCCCTGCAAGATGTCCCCGTCCCCAGACCAAGCCTCCGAGATGCCGCCGGTCCCCGGCGGGCTGAGCCTCGAGGAGTTTTCCCGCTTTGTGGACCTGGAGGGTGAGGAGCCCGCGTCTGGGGGGTGCAAGGAGGAGACGGGCACTGAGGACGAGGCGGGGGCCGGAGAGGACGGCCTCGGGCCCCTGCCCACCAAAGCCGACGCCCTCCGGGCACTGGGCACGCTGAGGAGGTGGCTGGAGTGCAACGGCACCTCCCCTGAGCTCTTTGAAAAATTCTACGCCTGCGAGGAGGAGGTGGAGCGTCTCTGCGGCTCGTGAGGGGCCCCCCCTTGCTGCTGGCCGGGCCCCCCCTCTCCTGTTTCCCATGGAAACGCCCTCGCTAGGAAGGCGGGCTGGAGGCTGGGCTCTTTCCCGCGGAAATGGAGCTTCGGGAAAGGTGTGGAAGGGAGACAAGCGGGGAGACCGAGTCGAAGCCCCGAGAGAAGGTCGCCCCAGCCTCCAGAAGAGGGTTCTGAAGATGGGGCGCGCCGGGCGGGGTGTGAGGCTAGCGTGTCGTTTCTCAACCTCCAGGGAGGCCGGGACCTGGGAAGGAAGAATTGAGGCTTTACGGACAGGCCGATCCCTTGAACTCTGTGTCGGAAACAGTTCTGCTTCTGGAAATGAAGTTTTTTAATCAGAAGAGAGGTCGGGGTGTTGTTTTCACGGAAAAGGGGCGAAAACTTTCAACTCAGATTTTTTAAAATTGACTGCTGAGGCTGGCCACGACGCCACCGTCTGGGCTTGGCCGCTGTGGCTGCACGTGACCAGCAGCACCCCCGTCTTCCAGAACTCCAGCGGGAAGGACTCCCCGGGAACGGGGACCCCTTACCTGCCGACAGACAGATCCCGAGTATCGTCCCCGGACATTCTGCTGCTCTGATGACTTCGCTCTCAGATCGTGGCATTAGGAACGGGGGGGGAGGGGTGGCTAGGGACAGTCTAGGGAAACCGCTCGGAGCCAGAACTTGGCATCGCATCGCCATCCGTTCCTTTGATCATTTCACAACATCTCTTCAGCAAGCCTCCTGTGTGGTGAGCTTGCAAAAATGGCCTCCCTGCCGGGCAGGGCCTCACAGACAGTGACAGTGCGGTGTGACTAAAGGCCGTCTCACGGGCTTGTGCAAAGTGCTGTGGCCCCCAGGAGCCTGGGGAGACTCCTGGAGGAGGGGAGCGGGGAGGACAATCCCGGCCAAGGGGAGGCAAGCATGGAGGCCTGCCGGGAAGGAGGGGGCCCCAGGTGGTGAGCAGAGGCAGGTGGTCCCTCTAGAGCACAGGGGGAGGCGTGGGGAGCAGGAGGGGTCTTCAGCCCACCACACAAGCTGGTGGGGCACCCCAAGGGGTCTCAGGGTGAGGACAGGTCATTCGTGGGATCCATGGGGCGCCCGGGTGGCTCAGTCGGTTAAGCGTCCGACTTCGGCTCAGGTCATGATCTCGCAGTTCGGGAGTTCGAGCGCCACGTCGGGCTCTGTGCTGACAGCTCAGAGCCTGGAGCCTGCTTCGGCTTCCGTGTCTCCCTCTCTCTCTGCCCCTTCCCCACTTGTGCTCTGTCTCTCTGAAAAATGAATAAATATTTGTTAAAAATTTAGAATAACTGAGACGTGGAGACGTGGGTCCAGGTGAGTGGTGGGCAGCCTGAGCCAGATCGGGGAGTAGGATCTGAATAGGATGGGTTGACCTGGAAAGGACATGCGCTGTGGACACAGACGGACCCTGGCCGGTGACGCGTCCAGCTCAGGCCCAAATCCTGCGGCTGAAAAGGCAATCGACCGTCACAAGCCAGCGCGGCACAGTTTTCTGGGGGGTGTTGCGGTCCAGGACACGGCGCCCAGGGCAGCCACGCTCATGCCCCCCTGCACGCCTGGCGCAGGCTCCCCCTCACTGGGGGCGTGGCTGCGGCACTTTGTCGACTTTGATGAAGTACCTTTCTTTTTTTTTTAATGCTTATTTACTTTTGAAGGAGAGAGAGACAGAGTGTGAGCAGGAGAGGGGTAGAAGAGAGGGAGACAGAATCCGAAGCAGGCTCCAGGCTCTGAGCTGTCAGCACGGAGTCCGGCTCAGGGCTTGAACCCATGGACGGCGAGATCACGACCTGAGCCGAAGTCAGACGCTCAACCGACTGAGCCACCCAGGCGCCCCACAATCCTCAGTGTATTAAGGAAAGCTCCCGGGACGCTAACTTCTGTTGTATACTTCTTCTAACTTCTTGAAGCTCTTTCTTCTCCAGGCATCCCCGTCACCTTACTGGCCTCATTTTCTTTCTCGTATATATATTGTATATATATTATATATATATACACACACACACACACACACACACACAAATATATTGTTTTATAAATAAAACCAAACAAAACAACAACAATTATATATATATAGTTGTTTTGTTTTTATTTTTCATCTCTGGAAAGCCCGAAGATCTCGTTTAGGAGAGCGCCTCTTCAGAAAAATTTGTAGTTACTCCTGCCAGACACCAGAGGGCGCGCCTACCATGATAAGTTAATTTCTCCATGGAAGATGTCCCTGGGGCGCCTGGGTGGCTCAGTTGGTTAAGCTTCTGACTTCAGCTCAGGTTATGATCTTGCCGCCCGTGAGTCCAAGCCCTGCGTCAGGCTCTGTGCTGACAGCCCGGAGCCTGGAGCCTGCTTTGGATTCTGTGTCTCCCTCTCTCTCTGCCCCTCCTCTGCTGATACTGTTTCTCAAAAATAAACATTAAGAAAAATTTTTTAAAAAAGAAAAAAAAAGAAAAAAAAAAAAAAGGAAGGAAAGAAAGGTGTCCCAGACCTGAAGCAATATGAATAGGCATGTGGCTTCTGATTCACAGAGGAGACGATCTTATTCTTAATTTTTGTCCACCACGAGGGAGAGGTAGGTTTCTTTGTAAATTCCCTTTACTGGTGGATGGAGATTTTCTGGTCTACCTTTGCACTAAAGGTGTATCCCTCTCCAGAATCTTGGCTTAATTCATGAGTCTGGGGTTCAGTTCCCCCTGACAGTTCCATGCAGTTATTTAACCTAAATGCTGAGAAGCATTAGTGCGAGCCCCTTAGCAGCTCCAATTCCAACACGCTGGTTTACGCTTACTTCCTTGTTTTGAAGGGGCGCTTGGGAAGTTCCCTTACTTCTTGAAAGGTTAGGGTTTTAAGATCCTGTTTGTTCTAATGGATCTGGAATCTAGTTGCTTTATAGTAGGAGGGATCTAGGTAAAGTCTAGAGCATCAGTCTGCCAGAGGGGGAGTTGGGAGGATCAGTTTTCTTTCTTTCTTCATTCATTCATTCATTCATTCATTTGTTCAAAACCATCGATTGAGCACCTCTGTGTGCCAGCTAGGGTTGTGATGATGTACAAAAGCAGACAAGGTCTTTGCTTCATGGAGCTCATAGCTTAGAGCAGACACATTATAATAAAAGAATCACACAAACAAGTGTGATTACAGACGAAGTGGGGATTGCATGAAAGCTAGTGCTTCTCAAACTGTGGGCCACACCAGCAGCATCAGTAGGAACTTAGTAAAGCACAAGTTCTTGGACTCTTCCCAAACTTACTGAATCAGAAACGCCAGCATGGGACCCAGTAATCTGTATTTCAACAAGCACCCCCCCCCCAGGGGATTCTAAACTACTGCCTAAGCCAAAGGAACTTGACCTAGAAAGAGGGGCTGACCAAATTTCCCTAAGGAAGTGGTGATGACAACAGAAAGATGAGTGAGAGGCACATAGGCAGCGAGAACAGCATGTGCAAATGTCCTGCGGTCAGAGGGAATCTGGTTGTTTAAGGAACCAAGAGAAGGTGAATGTCTGAGGGCCTTGAAGTTTGTAGAAGCTTGCCCTGATTCCTCAGAGTGACGGAAGGCCGTCCAGGAGGATGAGAGGAGTAGGGTGTCTTGATCAGAACTGCATTTGAAAAAGCGGAGTTACTTGTTCAGATTCAGGACAGGACCAAGGCTGTGGCATGAGGATGGCAAAAGAGGGAGTGAGTCCTAGAAAACTTCAGAAGCAGGGTTGGCAGGAGCTGGGGACTCCTTTGATATGGGAGGAGGGGGAAAGGAGAGCTTCCTGGAGACATCTGGCCCGAGGACATACCTGTACCGCAGAGCACTGCAGCAGGAGGGGACCGGGGGGAGCCATGACCTGCCTTTGAGATCCTCAAGGATAGGTGACCAGAGACAGAGGGCAGTGTGGGCCTGGAGCTCCGGACAGCCGTGAAGCCAGAAACAAGTCACATTCACGAAGTGAATGCCCAGGAGTCTGGAAGAAGTGATTTAAGCCAGAATCATCCTTAGGTTTGTCATTTCCCCCTATACCCACACATGTAGTCTTCGTGTCACTATCCACATAAGTTAGCCTCCTGTGGTCACTGCTATGAAAATAAACGTGACATTTGACAGTATGCAACCAGTAAGATGCTGTATACGCTCGCCCAAGTTACAAGCTCCCGATGTGCGAGCCTCAGACACCATCCCCGTTGTCAACTCAAAGCAAGTGCATTTGCTATTTTCTTTCCTAGTTCTTAAGGATTCCTTTCCCCCCAGCGAGTCCTCAAACGTAATGATGACCCCCGACGACATGTTAATTCCTTGCGGAATTTAACGTGACTATTATGAGACCCTGCTGATGTAAAAACACTTGGCTTTTAGAAATACCCTTGGGGGATCCCTAGGCGGCTCAGTCGGTTGAGCATGTGACTCTTGATTTCGGCTCAGGTCATGATCTCACGGTTTGTGAGTTCGAGCCCTGCCTTGGGCTGTGCACAGACAGCACAGAGCCTGCTTGGGATTCTCTCTCCTTCTGTGTCTGCCCCTCTCCTGATCGTGTGCGTGCATGCGTTCTCTCTCTCACCAAATAAACTTAAAAAAATTGTCTTGGGGCGCCTGGGGGCTCAGTCGGTTAAGTGTCCGACTTCAGGTCAGGTCATGATCTCGCGGTTCGTGGGTTCGAGCCTCGTGGAGCCTGCTTCGGAATCTGTGTCTCCCTCTATTTCTGCCCCTCCCCCACTTGTGCTCCGTGTGTGTGTGTGTGTGTGTGTGTGTCTATCTCAAAAATAAATAAACATTAAAAAAAAACCTTTTTTTTTTAATTATCCTTGGCCACTTCCTGCCTGTTCTTTGTCTTTCCACCCTCCTTTCCGACACCGTTGTGTCCTTTCCCTGGGCCTCGGAAAGAGGAATGAGTTGTTTTCTCACTAATCGTGTTCACACTTAACCCTAACCTCCCTCCAGCTCTGTTCTGTCAGTCCAGCTAGCAGCCCTTGCCATGTGCAGCAACAGGAGCTCGGGCCGGGACTCCATGGCCCCATGGGAGGCCTGCACTCTCTCTGGTTGTAAGGGAGGAGAGAAGAGCTCCGGCCTCCAGAGACACCTCGGGGGAAGCCAGAGGGAAAACAGAAGCCTATGCCTAGACGGTGCAAAGGCAGGCTTAAGGGTGTAATTGCTACCCCAAAAGAGGATTTAATTAAAACCCAGTCAAGAACGGATTTTTAAAGTTTATTCTCTTGCTGACAGGTAATGTGCGAAATGGCAAACGACAGAGGGCCACCCTGACCTCCTGCTCCCTTCTGGCCCATTTATAAGCGCCGCCTTCTCTCTCTCATGTACCGACTGCCCCCCCCACCCCTGCCCCCAACCACTGCTGTACCATCACCGTCCTGTCTGGCCCCAGATCTGGCCCCAACGTGGTGCTGGGCAGCCGCTGGGGCCTCACTAACCGACCAGATGTCAGAGGCAATTGAGGCACAGAGAGGGCGGTGACTGGCTGAGCCAGACCCTGTCTTTCCATATCAGGAACACAGGCTTCCTGACCCTGGCCAGGAGGGGAGGCCACTGGAGCTAGGAGTTCAAGTCCCTTCTACTGGACCCATAAGTCCCTTAGCTCGAGAGGACAGCACACACGTTTCTGCCTGTAGGAGCACCTGAACACCATTAAACCTTAATGTGTATAAAAGGGACCAGAATGCTTTGCACCACACGGATTCCTAGGTCCCGATCTCAGAGATTCCGATTCCATCCACCCCCGGTGGGGCCCGGGATCCTGCCTTTCAAACCTGATGCCACTGCTCCAGAGACCACACTGGAATCAGCCCGACCTGGAAACCCGCAGACCCCTACCTACTGTGTCAGCAAGGGTGAGGCCAGACTATTGCAACAAAGACGTGTCAGAGCACAGCAGCCCAGGTGGTCGTGGGCACCCGGGTTCTGGGCCGACGGGGTGCCTCCTGCGTCCTCAGCAGGGCCTTCTGGGGGCCCCACTTCCGGCCAACAGTGAGGAATCTTCTTAAAGGTAAGAGATGGGCAATTTGCAAGGCGCCTGGGTGGCTCAGTCGGTTAAGCGTGTGACTTTGGCCCAGGTCACGATCTCACGGGCCGTGAGGTCAAGCCCCGCGTCGGGCTCTGTGCTGACAGCTCGGAGCCTGGAGCCTGCTTGGGATTCTGTGTCTCCCTCTCTCTCTCTCTCTCTGCCCCTTCCCCGCTCATGCTCTGTCTCTATCAAAAATAAACATTAAAAAAAAAAAATTAAACAAAAAGAGAGATGGGCAATTTGCAGGCATCACACATTTCTCTGGCAAAAGCCCAGGGACAGGGCCCCCCTGAGTTGCGAGGGAGGTTAGGAAATGGAGCCCGGCTCCGTGGGCACATGCCTTGGGGCCACACCGTGACACTGAAAGAAGACGGGCGCCGTTTGGGTGCCGCTGCAGTTTGCAGGCCACCGTCCAGTGAAGGAGAGCTCTGAGGAGCACACGTGGGGCTGATGCCATCAGGCCAGCCCCGGGTGGCTTTGAACTTGGTGGGAGGCTGTCGCAGGCCCCAGGTAGAACAGGGGGGCAGAGTAACTGGGCTCTGGATTAGAGGCCTGGATGTGTCTGGGCAGGTGGTGCGACATGCTGGCCATGTGACCTTGGACACATTACACACACTCTCTGAGCTAAGGCTGTGATAAGAGCTAGAACACTGTAAACTGTGATAATATTGTGATGGTTTGGGGTGGGGGTTAAAGTTTATTTATTTTGAGAGAAAGCGGGCACACAAGCAGGGGAGGAGCAGAGAGAGAGGGAGAGTGAGAGGATCCCAAGCAGGCTTCTCCCTGTCAACGTGGACCCCGACGAGGGGCTTGATCCCACGAACAGTGAGATCATTAGCGGAGCTGAAATCAAAAGTCAGACGCTTAACCGACAGAGCCACCCCAGGCATCCAATGATGTTTTGTTTTAAGATTTTAATTTGTTTTTTAAAAACAATCTCTGCACCCAACGGGGGGCTCAGCCTCACAACTCCAAGATGGAGAGCCACGTGCTCCACTGACAGAGCCAGCCAGGTGCCCCTATTGTAACGGTTTTCATTGGGAGCCCCCAGTAAATGGTAAGAATTCCAGGCACTCAGGTCACCAGAAGGTGGGCCCAGGCTGACCTCAGACCAGATAGGGACATTAATGGGTACAAACTCTCCTCGGCTTCATTGCCAATCAAGGAACCCCTCTTTGGCCAGTTTGTAACCCCCACTTAGCAACTGAGATGGGTAAGAAAAACAAACACCGTCCGTGAGAGTGGCCAGGCCAGCACTCCTGGGGGAGGTGGCCCCCGACTTCTGGCACCAGTCCCCTGGAGATGACCCCAAGAGGGGCCAGGCAGGCAAAAACTCCCGGTAGAAAGGTGGGGGTGCAGCACCAAGGAAGTGGGTGTGGTGGTTGGAGTTGGGGGACCGATCAGAAGTCTGGCCCCTGACCTCAAGGAGCTCCCTGTGTAATGGGGTTAAGCTGAGAAGCAAATCAACAACCACGACAAAGCACAGGGGAGGGAGGGCCGTGATCCAAGCCTGTGGGGGATGTGGACGAGATCAGGGGACGAGGTGGGGGTGGGGACTAGGAGGTGGGGGGTTGGGAGTGGTATGAAAACCCCCCAGCCAGTCAAGAGGCAAGGGGGAGGCAAGGAAAGACTCCAAGAGACAGTGCTCGGCCTGGGCCCGGAGCAGGCTTAGCCACCCCTCGGGAACTGTTTGCTCCTGGCCACGAGGGAATAAGCCTTCCAGGCCAAGGCCAATAACAGCACATATTTTTCTCCAAGTGCGGGGCTGGGCTGTGGAAGCCCCCAGGGAGAAGAAAGCTAGTGGACAGGGAGGGCCCAGGAGTGGGGGGGGGGGCTCTCCCCCAGACCGGAAGGGAAGCCACTGAAGGACCCTGGACCAGCAGGGGACAGAAGGCTGCTCTCCAGGGGGGTCACGCGGGGAGCAGTTTGAAAGGAGGTGAGGAGGGCCCGTGAGGACGAGTTGCTGGAATCCAGGGGGTGGCTGGTTAGCGCCCAGGGGCGCAGCCTCTAAGAGCTCTTTAAGGGGTGAAGCCCCAGGCTGGGGGCCAGAAGGTCACCAGCACCACGGGCCGGGGAGTGGACTTCACAGACTCAAGGCGAGCGCCGCTGGGGGGCTGAAGTCAGCCTGTGTTCCGGAGCCCAGGGCCCGGGCCCACTGCTGCTCACCCTTGGGAAGGACTGGGCCTCTCGAATCGGATCGCAAGCCGGTGCTTTCACCTCGGCCTCCAAGCCGGGCAGGTGGGCGGTGGTCTCGCTGGGGAGCGGCCGGCATTACCTGCCTGGACTCAGCCCCACGAGCGGAGGAGGTATTCGTAGCTGAGGAAGGTGACGGCGTTGACAGGAAAGGCGCGGGCGCTGTTGATCGTCAGCCCCCGGAAGAAGACCCCCAGGCCTTCCTGCCGGGCGCTGCTTACCATGCAGTCCAGCACCCCCCGATACGCCCTGCGCTTCAGCCCCGCCATCTGCAGCCGGGACTTGATCACATCCAAGGGCGTGGCTACGGCCCAGGAGGCGATGCCTGCAAAGCCCCCTGCCACCAGCACCGTGGCTGGGCCTGGGGTAGAGGAAGCCCAGACGGGTGTCAGACCCCGAGGAGCAAGGCACCCTCCCCCCCCCCCCATCCCCAGCGTCCCTCCCCATCCTCCGGGCAAGGGCCAGCTCCCCTCCCCCGCTCCCCCGTCCGTTCCCCCCCCCTCCCCACGCCAGTTCACTTACTGGGGTCCTGGCCCTCCCGCGTCGACTGGCGGCAGAGCCACTCATACGTGACAAAATAGATCCCCAGTGTGGGGGTGTCCCTCAGCGTCAGGGCCCAGGCTCCCCGGAACAGCCCCCGGGGCCCCTCCTCCTGGAAGATGGAGACCGCACAGTGCACAGGCCCCCGGTACCGGGGCGGGGGGCTGCCCGGAGGCCTCGCCCTTGGCTCCGTCTGGTTTTGTAGCCGGACTTTGATGAGGTCAAAAGGGGCCAAGCAGTAGACCTGTACGTAAGGAAGCAGGAAGACCCTGGGTGGGGCTCTGGGAGAGAACGGGCAGAGAACAATGGGCTGATCCTAACAAGAGGAAGGTAGGGAGCAGAGGGCCGCATCTTCCCCCGCCCCGGTCCCCGCTCGCAGCCTCTGCACACAGGGCTCGGCATGGGCCAGACGGCTTCCTTAGCATCAGACCCCTGACAGCGAGCAGCACTGTCCCTCTCCCTGGACAACAGCATTGAACTTGCCTGGTGCTTGGTGCTCAGAGACAAACCTGGATTGTTTCCCCAAGACTGAGGATAGATTTCTAGCCTCCCCAAAGCCAGGGTGAGACCCACCTGCAGTGATTGGGTCTGAAGAAAAGATTTAGTCTGTGCCCGTGAGACAGCAAAGGGCTGATCACTGCCCCCCCCCCCCGCAGGGTGAAGGAGGTCACCTCAGTCCTGTTGGAGACTCCACTTCATAGGTTCTCCCTCCCCTACCTCCTGCAGGACACCTCTCAGAGGCCCCTGACGGGGTCAAGTGCTGGGCCAGCCTTTCCTGCCTCCTGAAAACCACCAACCACTTGTGTCCCAAGGAAGGTGGGTGATGGTGGGATCTGCGGGTCCTGGGATCTTATCACCCGGCTGAGGCAGAAGGGACGAACATTTGGGGTAGTATTAGGACTGAGGGTGGTTCCGGGTGGATGTGGAGGGAAGGTGGGGGCAGGGGCCAATGTGCGAATCAACACGGATGCACGAGGTCAAGGTCAGCTGTTAGAGTTCAGATGAGAATTGAGGTGAGGCTGAGGTTAGCACGTCATGAGGGGCTTCTGTGGTTATTGTTTCTTTCATGGAAGGTACATGAGCTCAGGTCCTCAGCCCTGGAGATGGCTGATGGCAGAGGCAGCTGGAAGTCGGCTCTGGCGGCGATGGTCAGAGGGCGACAGGCCAACTTTGCTTACTTCTTCCCCTGTAGGAAGGGCAGCGGGCTGGGGTCCCTCCCCCTGAGGCGTGACCCTGATATCATCCTTCAGAGTATGTGGGCGGAGCCAAACTCAGGACTCCTCCAGGCGATGTGCCCCTGAGTCCAGGGCTCCTGAGGGTGAGGAAATGGCCGAGCCCAAGGTAGGGTGGCCAGCAGGGGCAGGTTAGGGTCCTCACTCCCCAACCTGTGCCCACGGGGTCACTGGGGACGGCAGACAGGGTCTGCCTTTGCTGAGCCAAAGGCAACTTTTGTGCACATCAGAGGTTGTCATTCCCTGCCCTGTGCTAACCAGAGTCACTTCCTGCCTCTTCTTGCCCTTCTCCACACTGAAACACAATTTCTACTCCAAGATCCTGTTAAACCGAATCCATGGGCTTGATGGGAAACTGAGTTCCAGTCGGTCCTTGGACCAGGTCCCCATCAGTGACCCTATAACACCCCGTTCTGCTATCTATTCTGCTTTTTTTTTTTAATTTTTAACATTTATTTATTATTGAGAGACAGAGCATGAGCAGGGGAGGAGCAGAGAGAGAGGGACACAGAATCCAAAGCAGGCTCCAGGCTCTGAGCTGTCAGCACAGAGCTGGACGCGGGGCTCGAACTCACAAACTGCAAGATCATGACCTGAGCTGAAGTCGGACGCTTAACCGACTGAGCCACCCAGGCGCCCCTGTTTTGCTTTCTAAAGAGCAGGAGGGGAGGGTGACTTAGGAGCTGGGCCTTTCTGGGCCAGCTACTAGCCTGGGGTCTCAGTTCTCTTCCTTGTTTCTATGGGGTGCAAGTCTCAGGGCTTGGGAAATATGCAGGCATGTGTCCTGCACAAGAAGGGGCAGGAGAAAGGCCAGGACCTTTGGGGGTCTCATGAATCATTAATTCACTTGAGCGAGCCGCCTGGTTCTGTCCTTTGTCCTTGCTCTCTGCCCCATGAAGTATGTTAGGAGCGTCAGGGCAATGTCAAATAGGGGGTGACGGAAGGCGCCCGGCTGGGGTGTGGAGGGGAGCCAGGCAAGAGTCCCTCCGCCTCTGTGCTCACGCCCCCCAATCAGCTGGGATTCCCCCTGGTGCCTGGAAGCCTCGTCTTCCTCCACCCCATCAATCAAAAGCTGGATACTTAAGTGCTGAGAACAAAGACCAAAACCGAATGATGAGAGCTATTTAATGATTAATGCCCTGGGCCTCTCGCAGTGAGCTCTGTGGACTGGGGCCCCGCGAGGCTCACAGATCCCGGCCCGCCACATGCTGCAGGCAAAGGGGCTGAGCAGGGCATGAGCTGGGGCAGTGCCAGGACCACGCCAGGACTGGAAGGGCTGGGCTCGGAGCTCTGGGAGCGCTGTCAGTTCTCCAGGGCAAGAGGTCACCTGGGGGAGAAGTCTTCCCAGAGCCCCGAGGCTGGCAGAGCCCTCCGAGTGGGCAAGCCCCGTCAGCCTCAGAGTGGGGCATCGACTGTTCTCCATGCGGCCCCCTCAGCACCGTCTCCCCAGACCCCACCCCCAGCTCTCTCTGCCTTCTGCCCCGCCCCCCCCCCCCCCCCCGGGTTCTCCATGACCCTCCCCTCCAAGCCTGCAGCCCAGACGGCCACAGCCAGCTCTGCCAGGCCAGGTCATCGGGCAGAAGCCAGGAGCTGGCCATTCCCCCACAGCTCCTCATGTACCCGTTGGGGAGACCCAGGGTCTGCAGAGAGGGCTGGGAGGGGAAGCAGCAAACGGACCTTCGCTGTGCCCACATGCACGCGTGTGTGGATGTGTGTGCATGCATACACCTGTGCGCGTGTGCATGACCGTACCCGTGTGGACACACCCCACACCTCCCTCTCACCTGCACGAACCCTCCGGTGCAGCCAGCTATGAAGACGTGTATGTAGCTGGGTGGCTGGGCCCGCCGTTCCTGGTGAGAGGTTGCCGTGAGCGCCAGCAGGGTGTTGCTGTAGACGCCGAACAGGACGGAGTTGACCATGGCTATGCTCGCAATGGGGAAGCTCATTCCCTTGAAAAAGCCCAGGAGCTGTAGAAAGATGTGGCAAATGCTAAAGTGGCTGGGGGACCAGGGAGGCCTCCTCTTCTCCCCTCCCACCTCTCTCAGGGTCTCCTCTGGCTAGAAACCACTCCTGAAACCTGCCGAAGGGAGGTCGAGGCAGCCCCAGGTCCATCCTCGGGGCACCAAGCTACCACCCGGCCCCGGGTAGCCCCAGACTTAGGTCATCTCTCTTCCAGGGACAGAGCCCTGCCAGGGGGCCAGAAAGCTGGTGCTGGCCACCCGGAGGCCTCCTATGCCAAAGCCCCAAAGAAGCAAGACACCCACCGACTCATGGCGGTAGGTCTTCACCATACAATCGATGATGCCCCGGTATGTGGTCTGGGTCTGTAGCCGCACCTGGATGAGGAGGACAGAGCAGGCAGCCCAGCAGGGATGGGAAGAGACGGCTCTAGCCCAGCTCCTCCCTCTGCCCAGCAGGATGCCAGCAGGGCAGGACTGATAGGAAAGATCCCCCTCTCAAGGCATCCTGACTGTTGGTTCAGGTCGCAGCCTTTATTCCTTGAGTGCGTCCCCTCGACTCACCTTTACAGTGTCAAAAGGGTGTCCCAGGACCAAACCCAGAGCTCCTGTGGGATAAGAAGATGGTATGAGTGAGGCCCCTTGCGCCATGCTGAGGAAGCAGGTTCCTAGAGGGAAGGGGAATCCAGGGGGGAGAAAATGGGGCAGAGCCCTACCTGCCAGACTCCAAAGAAACTCCAGCTGTCCCCTTTGCAACCTCCTCCGCACCAGGTGCTGGGTGAGGCAGGCATGGGGACGTGGGGACATGGGGACAATCAGAGAGAGCCCTGGCCCCACCTGGAGGACACAGGCCGAAGGGAGGAGCCAACCACAGACACCACGTCCTCATAGCGTCTAACACTGCCTATCTTGCCTATTTAACCGTGGGGCGGTGGGATGGGTTCTCCAGTGCTCCTGCCTCGCTGCCGGCCTGACTCCTTCCCTCTTGCCTTCCACTCACTACTGCCGTGGAGTATGTGGCCTCGATCCAGACGGGGCCCTGCTCTCCCCCCCCTCCACCCCCTCAGCCAGCAGTACGGAGCTGGGAGCCCTTAGAACAGTCGTGCTGACACCAGGGGAGGAGGGTCCCGGCCCCCAGGCCATCTCCCCTGTGTAGCAGGTGCAGGTTCTGGAGGCAGAACCTTCTCAGGAGGCAGGTTCGAAACGTCCCTCTCTTTTCTTCTGAGAGAGGTGTCACCCAGAAGCTGGGCTGGGTCCCCAGCACAGCAGGCCTCAGCGACAGGGCCTGCAGCCCACGGCTGGGTAGTGCAGAGGCCCAAAGGGGAATGCGGGACAGCTGCTGGGGTCAAAGGTGAACTTCCTTTCTGAGCCCCCCAGGGTGGGCCTAGGGAAGCGGGGTTCCTGGTGCAGGTCTGCAGGCGCAGGTGAGTCTGGGGGAGCGCTCGCCTTGGCCCTGGAGGCGAGGGCAGCTCGGCTTCCTCTCCGCTCCCCTCGGGCAACTGCCAGGAGGCTCCGGGATAGCTGGCTCTGGGTGCTTCTGGGCCACCAGGACTTTGGTCTCAGCTCCTCCCAAATCACCAGGAAGTGACCCACCCCTGGGGTGGAGGGGATGTGACAGAAGGGAGAAAAGTGTCTCACCAGAGATCCAGCCGGCCACAAACTCCTCCACGGGCATTGTCCGGCAGGGGCGGAAACTGGTGGCTCCAGCAGAGACACTGGTGAGTGCAGGTTCCTGGTCTCCCTCCCCCTGATCTGCCTGATAACCTGCCACTAATGTTTAACTCTGCCCGTAGGGTGAGCAGTGGCCCGGTGCCCAGACCTCGGCACCAGGAGAAGGGAGGGAGCCAACCTGGGTGGCCTCGACAGCGGAGGAGGGCGCACCGTGTGAAATCTCAGGGCAGGGGTGATGGCCCAGGTGGCCTGACCCCCTGCCGGCCAACGACGGCCTCGCAGCCTCCCACGGTGACCAGGCAGGGCAGCCGGGCCCCAGCCTCCAGGGCTGCCTCCGGCTTTAACGAGCCTGTTGAGGGCAAGGCCCTGCTTACCCGGCCCAGCGGGCCCCAACCCCCTCTATCCCCACAGCACCTCACGCCAGGCTGTCGCCCACTCGGGACAGGCAGCCAGGCCTGCAGAGATGGGGCATGGCCACCAGGGGGCAGACAGACGGCGTGGGAGGAGAGGAGTGATTCTTGGGCCTGAAGCCCTGCCTTCTCCCAGGGTTGTCTATGGCTCCCCAGCTCCCTCGTGTGAGTCAGAAACAGCTTCCCTCGCTTGGCCTTCTCTTCTCCATCCCTCCTTTCTAGGGGGAAAGCTGGGGATTTCAAGCGTGTAAAGGCTGGTGTGTGTCTCAGTTCAAGGGTTATGACTGCCCATTTCTCTTTGGACAATAACCCAAACTGACAAGGCAGGGACCTGAATCCCTCTCTCTCGCTCTCAGCTTCCTTCGACCAAGCTTCTCTGTTGCCAATACATTCAACATGCTACAGCGTGCACCATTATTCCACTCGCCCATCGGCTCTTTACGAGCTGAGTGCGGTTAAATACACTCCTCCGTGTTGTTTTGAAAATGGTATTTCACATCATTTAAAAATTGTGTTGCATCTTTTGAGAAATTAGATGACCGTTCATGCCTTGTGTTTCTCACACCTGTCTGGTACTTTTTTTTTTTTTTCAACATATGAAATTTATTGTGCTGTCTGGTACTTTTATCTTTTCTGCTTCCGCCCTCTCTTTCTGCCTTAGGGGGGCCGATGTACATGAGCAGAGGCAGCATGGGCTGTGGTGTCATCCGGTCTCAGCTCTGCCCCCACCAGCCAAGTGATCTGTGGCAAGGCACGTGCTTCCCGAGGCGCTTTTCTCCCACGTCCTTTGGGAGTCTCCAGAGGTCACTAGAGGGGGTTTCTGGGGCGGTGGTGTTCACGTTCAGGATCACGACCTCATCCAGGGCTGTGTTTCTGACTTTCTCCATTACACTTGAATGATTCCCTTGCAGTGGGGCACGGGAGCACAGCGGCAGTCCCGCAGCCTTGGGGGCAGAGGCAGGGCATCAGGGCAGACCCATGGGTGCAGGCAGAAAGCGCTGAGCTTGCTGAACACGATGAACCTCCGACATTAGCAGAGCGCACAGGGGTTCTGATGTAACGTGTTGTTTCCATCGACAGCCACAGAATATTCTGTCAGATTCTATTCTTAGGTATGCTGGGTAGTGGGGCGGGGGTGGGGTCTTCTTTCGAGGGCACAGAGATCCGGTGCTCAGGTGCCATGGCCCACAGAAATCTGTGAAGGCACCAAATGTGGGTCCCAACTTTTGAAGTCCTCCTTGACCCCTCCCTTTCCCTCATACCTCAATAACACTCCATAAGGAAACTGTGTTGGGTTGGTATTGCCTTCAAAACACATCCCACACCCCACCCCTCCACACCTCCTCCACTGCTACTACCCAGGCCCGAAGCCACCATCACCTCCGCTTGGATCCCTGCCTGGCCTCCCTGCCTCCACCCCTGCCCCCTTCCAGTCTGTTCTCCACCTCGCAGCCAGAGCTACGCAGGTGAAATTTAAGTCAGGCCATGTCTGTCCTCTGCTCCACACCCTGCACGGGTCCCATCCTGCTCAGAGTCAAAACCAAAGTCCTTCCTAGGCTCTAGAAGCCTTCACAGTACAGCCCCATGTTCTTTTGACCTCCGTCCCAGCCACTCTGGCCTCCTTCTCTTCTCCAGAAGGGTTCCTGGCTCCAGGCCTTGGGCATCGGCTGTCCCTTCTCCCTGTTGGCCTGGTCTAGCCTGGACTCAAACGTCATCTGCCTGGCATTCCTGGTGCCCCTTTCCTGGATCTACCTTTCCGTTCTTTCATCGCACTCATCACCGTCCGATGCACTGTGTCATTAGCTTGTTGTCTGGGCTGGGATCTCGGGCTGTTTTGCTTACCGATGTGATCCCAAAGGCTTAGAACGGCGCGTAGCACAGGGTAGGCACTCAATCAATTTTTGTCGCAAGTGTGAATGAGCAGACAAGCAAGGGAGCAGCATTAGTGGGCAGCCTTGCAGCCACCCCTGGGTCTCTGGTTCTCTAGCCCCATCTCCAAATGGCCCCAAAGGATGTAAAGTCCCAACAATACTCCTACCTGCCCCTCCAGATCTTACTTCCCCAGCCGATGCCCAAGAATCAGTCCCGCTCACCCTTCCGCTTTCCCATTGTGGCCAAAGCAGCATCCACCCCCCACTACTTTCTTGCGGGCAGACAGGTTCTACGAAGCGGGGTTCACGTCTGACCTCCCGGGGGTCCCCGGGCTGCCCCAGTGACCTTCCTGAGCGCTGGCTTCTCACCAAGGGCTGGACTTACAGTCCTCATCCTGCTGCGTACCCTCTCCCAAGGGACGGTGGGCAATCCCTTCTGTGGGCCTTAGGGTCCTTCACTGCTTGCAGAGGTAGGAAACCAGCCCAGTTGATTGCTGAGTCTAAGGCCTCTTGGCTCTAAAGGCCTGAGGGCTGCTGTCCTCACATCAGAATGGGCCCTGCTCTCTTCTCTCATCCCAGCCCACCACCCCAGTTCAAGGGAGACCCACTACCACTCCCTGGAGCCTCGCCAGGCTAGCCTTTTGCCTGGCAGAGCAGAGCTCTGACCTCATCCTTCTCTAGCTCACAACCTCCAAAACATCCTCACCGCCTGCCAAACCCACCACACACCCCTCTCCCTGGTGTTCACACCCCCTCCCAGGTGCCACCCCACCTTCCCAGCCTCACCTGCTGTGCTCTGATTGCCCAGGACTTCCCCGGTATCCTAACCTTGCTCCGGCAGTTCCCACTACTGGGAATGCCTTCGGGAATCTCTTCTGGTGCCCCTCCTCACGGGACGTGGGTTCCGGCCTCCTTACCACCACATACTGCCAGACATCAGCTTTGTTATTTAAACGTTCTGATCCTATTTTTTCATCAACAAATGGAGATATACTATCCACCTCCTAGTGTGGTATAAGGATTAAAGGACTTTGGAAAGAGAGGTGCCTGAGTGGCTCAGTGGGTTAAGCGTCCGACTTCTGCTTAGGTCATGATCTCATGGTTCATGAGTTGGAGCCCCTGTGCTGTCAGCTCAGAGCCTGGAGCCCGCTTTGGGTTCTGTATCTCCCTCTCTCTCTGCCCCTCCTCTGCTCACACTCTGTCTCTGTCTCTCTGTCTCAAACAAATAAACATTGAAAAAAATTATAAGAAAAGAAAACTGGCACATTGTATACGCTCCACAAACAGCAGCTGCTTACTCTTACTTGTACTCACATGGGCCATGAGGGTGACATGAGGAGACAGGGGAGGGCCTGGCACCCAGCAGGGCTCAGGAATTGAAGACCCTTCTCTTCCTGCTTGTAGCACCTTATAGCTCTTAAGGCAATTCCGTCATCTTATGTAGTTTTAAACCTGCATTTCTTCTGGGCTTCTCTCTTCCCCCTCTCTACCTCCACACCCTAATTCAACCAGAACAGAAGCTTCCTGAGGGCAGGGCAGTGTCTCACCCTGGCCCCCATCCCCTGCCCTAGCCCAGACCCCACACCCAGTATGCACTCAAGCACACTGAACTGTGTCCCCCTTTGCTCCCACTGGTTTAGGGAGGCCACCAAACCATCGTGTCCTGGTCTGAGGGTCCCAGAGCTTAGAACCTGGAGGCAGATGCCCATTCTGACCGCACTCTTCTCTCCAGCTCACACCTGAGCTCCCTTGAGTCCTCAGTTCACGCGAGGAAGACATGTTGTAACGGGCTCAATTGCGCAGCAGTGTGGCTCCTGGAGGGCAGGTAAAGAGAGGTTTCAAATACTGAGGAAATTGTGCCGGGTTAGGAGATGGGGCAGCCTCCCAATGCAGGGGGCGGGGAGGAATCAGAGCATGGTGAGCCCGCGCCTCCCCTTGCACCCCCACCATCCCTGATCACCCAGCCCATTGTGGCGAGAACAATTTCTCGTTCCTCTGGCTTAGGAAGGTGCCCCATGGACCTGTTTTTCTCCCTGAGAGCTACACCTCAGGCATACACATGCTGGCATTGCCAGGACATGTTGGTGACGTGACCCTGGGATAATGGTTTCACACCTGTCTCTTCAGGGGCCCAATGCCTCTTTCTGGCGTGGGAACGGCTCAAGGTCTCCAGGCTGTGTGTCTAAGATAGAGAGGGTTCATGTGACTGCACCTTGGAAAATCAAGTGTGTCTGGCCTGGGTTTCTAGCATATAACCTGAGAGTCCTAGGAGGCCACTGAGTTCAATCTCTTCATTTTACAGATCGGAAACTGGGGCCCGGGGGAGAAGGGGCTTGTCCAGGCCGAGTCCGTAGAAGGGCCCAGTCTTCTGACCACAGCAAAGAGCCCCTAACCCCTTATGGCCCAGGAGGAGCTGCTGCAGTACAGGCTGCTGCCTGAGTCACCTTTACGCAACACCCAGAACAGTGCGGGTCCCTGACACGTCCCAGGACGCATCTCCATTTTTGCAAGTGAGGGCACCGGCCCCAAACCACGCGCAAGTGATTACCCATAGCTCGGTCACCATTCCTGATTTCCTTGAACCTTCGCCACACCTTGTTACAGGCCAGCGGGCAGGCCCGTGGGGGGGGGGGGGGGGGGCGCTGCCCTCGGTCACCGTGTTGGTGGCGGGGATGTTTCGCGGCGCGGCCACCTGGGGACCAGAGGCGTAACCAAACTCGCGAGGCCCAGGTTTCCGCGGGCCCGTGAGAGGCGAGAGCGCGCCGGCGCCAGGCAGGGCGCGTGCGCCGCAGTCCCGGGCTCCCATTGGTTCCTGCGGGTTGGGAGGCGGGGCCGTGCGCGTCGCGCTTCCTCCGCCCCAGCTTCCGCGTCCTCGCCCCGGTAGCCGGACCCCGAGCGGGTACCAGAGTCTTACCCGGTTTCAGAGCTGGAGTCGGATCGGAGGGGTCGGAGTTAGACCAGGACCCTGGGCTGAAGCGGAGGGCACTGACTCCCTGCGAGGTGAGAGCGCGGCGACGCCCTGCGCGGGTCCTCACCGCGGATGGGAAGGCGCCGTGCCCTGCCTGGGGCATCCCGGCGAGTCGACCCCGCACCTGACCACCAGCCTCGAGCTTGAGTTGGCTGAAGACCCGCTGGTCTGCACACCGGTGCCCCCAGCCAACGCTGTTCACTTTCGCAGATCAGCCCGGGACTCCAGCCTTCCTCAGTGAGAGTTTGAGGGGCTCCCCAATCCCCTCATCCCTGGACACTCCCTCCCCCCAGCGGCCGTTCTTTCTCTTTCCTTGTGTAGATGGACGGGACAGAAGGCAATGCTGGGCAACCGGGCCCCGCTGAGCGGTCCCATCGAAGCAGCGTGTCCTCCGTGGGAGCCCGAGGTGGGTCCCTGTCCCCCTTACCTAATCTCCATACCCAGTTTGTGTCTCAGCCCTGGGGAAGTGGCCTTGGCTTGTCCTCTCTTTCATTAAAGAGAATCTTATACAGTAATTAACAAATAAGGTCTGTGGCCGTGTGAAAAGTGACAAGACAGAGGACGTGGGCTCTGTCACTAGGCTGTTGGCCAAGTTGGGTACTGTTCTTGAACTTCCCTTTCTTCATTTGTAAAATGAGCGTATCTTACATAGCTGTGGAATTGAAATGAAACCTCATGAATGAAAGTGCCACCTTGACTTTCTTTGATTTCTTTCTCACAAACAGCAGGGTGAAAGCAGACATCATTATCTTCATTTTATAAGGAAGGAAATTGGGCCCTAGAGAGGTTAAGTCAGTGGGTACTGGAGCCTGCATTGACTCTGTTTTCCCTACCTGAAAAGTGAGTCTGAATCACAGCCTCCTGGAGATTATTTTATGGTCTGTCAAGAAAGTAGCTGTTAGGGGCAGAACAGACTGGAGATCCAAAACGCACGTTCATGTGTGTTGATGATAAACTATGCCTTTGCCTTTCATAGGCTTTACCCCATTGGATTCACAGCTTGTCTTTGAGAGACGGGGATTAGCCCTGCTTTAATGAAGCAAGTCACATTCACACTTGCTGGAATCAGCCCACCAGCCAGGACCCCGGCTGGACTGGAACCCAGGTATTTGGGCCTCCGAGCTCAGTGGTCCTTCACTGTACCTGCAGTTCCAGGGATGGGGATTTGAATCTGGCTGCTCTTCTGAGGGTCTCCCTTCAGCACCAGGCTCCAAATAAGAATCCTACAAAGCTGACACAAGTGAACAACACTCAACTTTTTAGGTTATATTTCTCCTGGCCTAGTTAGACTGTCCTGGAAGGCCATGGTATTGAGTCCTGAGGCTTGGAGAATCCTATGGAAGCTGAACCCTGGAACTTGCTTTACCCTGGGGTGGCCTTAGGAATCCCCTGTTCTATCTTAGCTGGGGCCAGAGAGAGACAGCTACTTGCCTGAGGATAATAGCCAGTTGCCAACTCTCCTGCCTCGAAGCCTGATGCACTAACTCCTATAATCTCAGGACGGGTTTGGCCTGTCTCTGCCTCAGTTCTCACCTGTGGAATGTTCTCCATCAAGGAAGAAGCCGAGGGAGCTAGGGTGGGGAGTTAGGGCTGGGCCAGAGTTGCTGTGTTTCTGGGTGGTTTGAGGGTCTCAGATAAGCCTTAACACCACTCGTCACAGGGTCTTTTGAAGATGCTGGGGCTCTGCCTCTAGAGTGTGGAGGCATTCCAAGGGATTGGGGCAGCAGAGGAGGGGGGCTCTTGCCCCAGTGGAGGGGGATAGAGGGTTCCTGGTCAGCATGCCTCTGCCCACGTAGCAGGCTCAGCTGACCCTGCCCAGTTTCTGTTGTTGCAGCAGCTGACGTGCTGGTGTACCTGGCGGATGACACAGTGGTGCCCCTGGCCGTGGAGAACCTGCCCTCACTTAATGCCCACGAGCTGCACCGGGCTGTCCGTGAGGTCCTACAGCTCCCAGACATCGCCCTGGATGTCTTTGCACTCTGGCTTGTCTCCCCTCTGCTGGGTAAGGCTTGGCAGTCAGAAGCCCAGCCCGGAGGGTTGGAAGGGCAATGACCAGTAGGGAGGGGACAGCTTCCGGAACCTCTGGCCACAGACATCAGGAGAAAGTGGGACTTCTGTATGTCCTGGAGCTGTCCACCGCTTCTAGGACACCTGGATCCTCTGCCCCCACTCTCTCTCTGCTGGTGGCAGAGGAGGGGTCGAGCCTGCCCCTCAGCCTCGCTGGTGCTGGACCTGGGGCATGAAGAGGATCAGGACTGGGGGACAGGGATGGAAGGGATCTGCATTCACTGAGCATGTGGTCCATGCCACGACCTGAGCTGGCATTTCTTGAGCAGAATCTCTCCTCACCCTAATGGCCCAGCCCTGTCTTACAGATGAAGAAGGTGAGGTTTGGAGTGGTGGGTTCAGTGACTGGTAGGACCCAGATCAGAATGGAAGCCTGGACAGGGCCTCCTCAGCCAGCCTCTGAACTGCAACCTCCTCGTTGGGGGCAGGGAGGAATGTGGGCCAAGGAAGCAGCCACCCCCGAGGGTGGGGTGGACAGGACGAGTGGGAACTTGACTTTTCTGCACGGGGCGTCCAGCCCTGCTTGGTTTCTGGTCCATGACCACCTGTGTCCTGTCCTTTCAGGCTGAGATCCCAAGGCGGGGAGGCGGTAGCTCTCCACATCCTCAGGCCTGGGGGCGGGGTGGGGGGTGGGGGTGTCCCTGAGGCCTCTGAATAGGGTCCCTGGCCTGCTGGCTCGCACAGGAAGAAGGCCAAAGGAGAGGGTGCCCCAACAGGTGCCAGGGCCAGGCATGTCTGCTGAGCTTAAATATTCTCCTTTCTCGTAGAGGAACAGGGGCAAGAAGGGGGTGATGTGTCCCCCAGGGCCCCTAGTGGTTACCTCATTGTCAGGCCAGTGGGATTTGTGCCTCTGCCCCAGAGGGAGAATCTCTAGTGACCAGTGGGAGACGGAGTGCCCATCCTGTGTATCTCCATCCTGCCCATGTCCTGTGTCCAACCCCCCACCCTGCCCCGTTGGAGCTTCCTGTCCAGCTGCTACTCTCGCCCACCCTCTTCCTGCTGGCAGGTCTCCTCCACCCATTCCCCATCCAGCTCAGCCTACCCCTTTTCCACCCTCCGGGTGTGGGTTGAAACTGCAAGCCCCTTGGTTTGTATCTTTGGGAAGCTGGTGGTGTCTGTTTCAAGGGTTTCGGCTGGCCCCTGCCCCGCCTCAGGCTCTGTCTGTCCCTGCAGCTGGGCAGCTCCTCCTACTTCCTCCGCCCCCACTCCCTCCTCTTCACATTCCTGTTTCCCCCCCCCCCCCCCGCAAGAACATGAATGGGCTGCCTGTGTGGCCGGCCCGGGTCACCCTAGGGCACCACCCTGTCCAGGAGGAGGGTGGCTAGAGGCCCCAGCATGAAGTCAGTGCCCACTTGGTTCCCTGGCTGGGTTCGGGAAGGCTGAAAGGCCATTTCTTCTTTGACTCAGGCCCCTCGGAACCCTTGGCTGCCCCCCAACCCCAGAGTGGGTTAAGCTATGACAAATGCCCCAGGGCTGTAAGGGGGGAGGGGTGCTGTGGGCTGGAGCTACCCCTCAAGCTGGATGTTTGGGGAATGTTTGTCCTTCTCAGTGCCCTTGTCACTCTGCATGGAACAGGCTCCAGGGACCATCAGTCTCATCCGAGTGAAAGCCTCCAGACAGGAAGGTCCTGTCTGAAAGTGTGTGGGACCGCAGGGTCAGTGTAGTCGTGCTCTGATCACGGGAGTCCCCTGAGCTGCTGGAGCTCGAGATCAGGGCTGGGCTGTAGACAGAAGGAAGGGCACCATTGCCCCCGGTCCACTCTCCCTCTCAGTGTGTCCGGAGGTCCCAGCTAGTCAGTTACCTTGGTCACCTCACAGGTAGGTCCAGAGCTGCCTCCCAGCACCCCTGTGGCGGCCAGTGATCTAAATGCCGGGGACACAGTGGGAAGCAGGACCAAAGGTGTCCCTGCCCTGGGGGAACTCGCAGTCTGAAGTGTGGTGCAGGAGCTGTGGTCCTGGTTGCCACTAACTCTTGGTGGCCTTGGGCAGGCACTGTCTTTCTTTGGACTTGAGTTTCCCACCTGTTCAGTGGATGGTCTCCGTACCCTCTGGCTGTGGCATCCTCTGAGCATCCCGGTGCAAAGCATGTGGAAGCTGAGTGGCCGGGTGGGTAGGGTTGAAGACGGAGCCTTTCTTGGAGGGGAGAGGGTGCTGCTACTGGGTGTGGCAGAGGCGGCGGCAGATGGGTGCGGGCAAGGATCTAGGTTGGAAATGAGGGACAAGGAGCCACTGGGAAATCTGAATATCTGAGAAACATTGGAGGAGAAAGGGGTGTGAGGAAGCTGAATGCAGGGGTGGATGGGAGACGCTGCAAGCAGGAGGGAGACCAGTTTGGGGGGATTTGGCTACTGTTTTGTGTTAAGATCAGGGACCAGATGGGGGCGCCTGGGTGGCTCAGTTGGTTAAGCAACTGACTTTGGCTCAGGTTGTGATCTCACAGTTCGTGAGTTTAAGTCCCACTCCGGGTGAGCTCGAGCCCCACTTCGGGAGAATACAAGCCCCGCTTTGGGTGAACCCAGCTTCTCTCTCTCTCCCCTCTCTGCCTCTTGCTTACTTGCGCCCTCTCTCTCCCCCCAAAAAAAACAAAAAAAAACCAAAAAACAAAAAAACAAACAAAAAAAAACGGGGATCAGATGAAAGCCCAAAGAACAGAGATAAAGACCCTTGGCTTCATGCTGGCAGGATAAGGTGCCCAGCCCCCTGGTGGGGGATGAGGGAGGAGATAGGGGTCAGAAGCAGGGTCAGAAGGCAGGAGTAGCTAGTCGATGGCATGGATATTGCCACTTCCCTACTCCCCTACCTCCAGCAGCCATCCTCATTCATCTGATGGCTTGGAAGTGGCCTCTGACTTCTCAAAGGCTGTGGTCACTGATGCGTAAGGTGAAAGTGCTTTCCTATTCCTGGCCCGGGGTGTCGAGCCCTGGGGCCAGCTGGCTGCCCAGAGTCAAGGGGCCATGAGAGATGCACTTGGCCATTCTGTCCACCCATGTGAGGGCCTGCGGTGGGCCAGCGGTAAAGCAGTGAATGGGATAGAGCCACTCTTGCCCGGGTGACCCGAGGACTCAGCAGCTAGTGGAGCATAGGCAGGGAGGTGACAGCAGATAGTGGTAAACACCGTAAAGGCAACCACATGAGGGTGTAGTTGGCATGGAGGAAGTTGATGAGGGGAGCTGGCTCAGTGAAGGGTCTGGGGAAGGACACGCTTGAACTGAGACCCAAGCCAGCCAGTCATGTGGGGGGCGGTGTGGGGGGATGCCTGAGGCTGGAGGAACAGCGCGTACAAAGGCCCTGAGGCACCGACATGCTGGGGAGATTCAAGCTATTGAAGAAGGCCGGTATGGCAGGAGCAGAGCGGGAGAAGGAGTGAGGAGGAAATGAGGTGGGCAAGCTGGATGGCATGGAATAAAGGTCAGCGAGAGTTCCTGCGGAGGATGCTGGAGGTGAGGCCTGGAGAGGAGGAAGCCCAGGCTCTGCCAGGGGCAAGGGAAGACAGCCTCTTGTGTCTGTGGGTCCCAGTTATCAGCTTTGGGCTCTGCTTCCTAATGGCAGTGCTGGGTTCTTCTGTACCACCATCTCTGGCTCTTTCTGTCGGCCACCGCCTCTCGTGCTGGAGGGAACAGTCAGAGGCTGGTGCTGCCTAGAGCCTGACCCTCTCTCACCTGTTGTGTGACTTTGGACAAGTGACTTAACCTCTCTGTGCCTCATTTCTCTGCCTGAGTGAAACGAGCATAGCGTTCTTACAGAGCAGACGCACGTAAACCACTCGAAATGGTTCGGGGTGCTTGTACCTGCTCAGTTAATACCGGCCACGACGGCCATCGTCGTCGCCTTCGTTCGCGGGTGGCAGTCGTACTGGTCAGAGGCCACACTCATGGCCACTTCCCCTCTCGTCCCGCAGAGGTGCAGCTGAAGCCCAAGCACCAGCCCTACAAGCTGGGCCGCCAGTGGCCAGAACTGCTGCTGCGTTTTACCGACGCCCCCGATGACGATGTGGCCATGGGTCAGTGCTGCCGCCCGCTGGCCCGCATCTCTCCCAGGCACCCTCGGCCACTCCTTCCAGGGGAAGATCCTTGGTGTGGAGGGGTGGGGGGCAGACTGTGCCAGGGGCCAGGGAGGGCAGCCCCTTGGGCCTTTGGGCCTCACTAACCAGCTTTTGCAGGATCCTTGAGGGGAACCCAGGAGGGGGGTGGCCCCGGGGGTCAGCGTGCGCATTGAGACAAGCCAGCCTCCCAGTCTCTGGACAGCCCTCCGGCTTTGTCAGTCGTGGTGGGTGAGGGGGGCACTAGGCCTGTCAGGGGAGAGGGCCGGGCCGAGCCGGGGAGCCGGGCGGTGACCCCAGCCTCTCTCCCCAGATGAGCCTTCCCTGCAGTTCCGAAGGAATGTGTTTTTCCCAAAGCGGCGGGAGCTCCAGGTGAGGCGGTGAGCGCCAGGCGGTGCCCCCGTCCCTGGGGCCCTGTGTCTGGCCTCCCCTTGTCCGCAGACCCCTGGACACTGGTGTGCCACCCCAGCTGAGCAGCCCCTCCGTCCCGCACCGGCCCACAGATCCACGACGAGGAGGTCCTGCGGCTGCTCTATGAGGAGGCCAAAGGCAACGTGCTGGCCGCACGGTACCCATGTGACGTGGAGGACTGCGAGGCCCTGGGCGCCCTGGTGTGCCGCGTGCAGCTCGGGCCCTACCAGCCTGGCCAGCCCACTGCCTGTGCCGTGAGGTGAGGGCCAGTGGGACCTGGGGTGGGGGCGCGGGGTGGGGAGGGTTGTCCTGGAGCCCTGCTTGCAGGTGACCCGACAAGATCTGGAGTCGGGAGGCGTAGGCCCCCTGGGGCTGGCCCCGATGCTGTGTGACCTTGAGCAACTCACCCCACCTCTGAGCCTCCTTTTCCTCGTCTGCTCTGGGCTGAAGAGCCTGAGAAGTGGGAGCTTTGGGTGAAGTGACACCTGTGAGAGGAGCCCCCAGGTGTGCATGAGGGTGGAGCCTCCATCTGAGGTCAGGAGGGAGGTGAGCTGGTTCTTCCGGGGACTGACCCCCATCACCAATGACTGTCCAGCTTAGTTCCGCACTCCAGGGACGAGGTCCCGTTCCCCGGGCACTCCAGCCTGCGGGCTCTGGGCTTCCCACCCCCTCCCAAGAAGCAGTGCTCTCTGCTGTGACAGTGAGTGTGCCCCAGAAGCACACCAGGCCGGACTCTGACCTCCACGGACAATGGTCCTGAGGTTTAGAGGTAATTCCAGTGGAGATGAACTTTCGGCACAGCCTGCTCCTAGACCCCAGGCTCCTCCCACCCCAGCATTGTAGTGGGCGGCGTGTTGGGGGAGAGGATGTGCAGAGACAGGGCCCTGTGCCAGGTGACTAAGAGCTGGGGCCTCACAGCGACCACCTGGCTCAGTCGAGCCGGAGGGCTCCCCATGGAGCTGGCTGGGGCTGGTGGCCGTAGGGATCCTGCCCCTCGGGAGTGTCTGCTCCTTTACGCAACCCAAAGTGTTTGTACTTGAGGGACTTTGTCAGCTCTGGATGGATCCAGAGGTGCAGAGGCTCAGGTTAGATCCCCAGACGCCTGTCCTCGTTCTCCTGGCCCGGCCCCGTGTCCTCTGGGCCAGCTCACACTCAGGCAGGCCAGTTGTGTATTGGGAGAGGCCTCTTCCCTGACCCACAAGAGTCCTCAGACTCACTCTGACGTCCCCTTCCCTTGGCTGAGCCTCAGGTCCGACCAAAGGAGACACGGTGGCCAGAGCGCTGATGGGCCTGCCCTGAGCCTGCCCGGGCCCCACGGACGGGTGTGGGGAAGGCGGGATTTCCAGATGACAGGCGAGAGTTGTCGCTGGAAGATGGGATATGGGAGCACAAGCAACGAAAGTGCCCACAGCAGCCCCGAGAAGGGCGACGGCCCCCTGGACACCCCTTCTCACACTGCCCAGCTGTTGGCCACCAGGCCGGCGCGAGCTCCTTCCTCACCTCAGCCTTCCCGCTGGCGGGGGGTGGCGGGGGGTGTTTGGTCGTCCAGAAGCCCCAGGAGAGACCCCTCCCTTCTGTGGTGAAAATGGCAACCTCAGCGGTACTTTTTAGGTGCCAGGCACCTGCTGGCGCCCTTCCATGCAACCACCGGTTGGTGTCCTCGTTTTATCCCTGGGGAAGCTGGGCCTCTGAGAAGGTCCTCGCTGCCCGAGGACACACCTCCGGCTGCCCCCAGCTGGGAGCAGCTGGCACGCAGCCCGCACGGTCAGAGTGCTGCCTGACGCGGGAACAGTGCGGTTATGCCGAGGTTCTTTACGGTTGCGAGCTTTTCTTCTTGGGCCTGTGTTGACGGATTGTGGGTTGATGTGGTTTTTTTTTTTTTATGTCCCTCTTTGGCAGAAAATCCGTGGAGAGGTATATGTAGGTCACTGGCTGTCCTGGTTTTTGGTTGTAAAAGTTCCACTAACTCGGAAATCCAAACCTTCGTGACTCAGTGACACAGACGCTGCGCTGAAACCCTCCGGCCACAGGCTGGCTGTGCAGCGGGCGTGGTCTCGGCTCCCCCTTTGGTGTCCCAGCCTGTCCTCCAGGCCTGTCACCAGCCAGGCTTGCCGCGGGGCTCGCGGCAGTGGGCTCTCTGGCGGTCCTCGTCTGGGGCCTCGCCTGCCCCTGCCCGTGAGCGCGCCGCACCCTGAGGACCTCGGCACCTCTGGCCAGGCCCCCGCCCCGGAGCCCCGCCTCCCACCGAGCCCCCCACTTCCTTCCTCCGCAGGGAGAAGCTGGACTCCTTCCTCCCCGCCCACCTCTGCAAGCGGGGCCACGGGCTCTTTGCTGCCCTCCGGGGCCGCGGGGCCAAGGCGGGGCCGGGGGAGCAGGGCCTGCTGAACGCCTACTGCAAGGTGAAGGAAGCGGCCGGCGGTGACAGCGGGTGCGAGGCCTCCCTCAGCACCCACTACCGTGCCTACCTCCTCAAGAGCCACGAGCTGCCCTTTTACGGGTGAGCGACCCCCTGGCTGTCATCGTCACGGGCAGCCACGGCCCCGGGGCCTCCGCCGTCCCCTCCCCTGACAGCCCAACAGTCTGCACGGCCTGCCAGGGTGCCCACCTCTGCCCCCGCCGAGCTCTGTCCTCACGTGGGGCGTGTCTCGGGCCCCACGGGGACCGAGCCGGACCCCTGTCCTCCCCTTGCACCTGTCCCAGGCCGGGCGGCGACCCTCCTTCCACCCGCCACGGTCACCTGGCCGCTGGGCCCGCGGACCTTGCGCGTGGCCAGTTCTCTCACGCCACCAACAGTGATCGGTGGCTCTCGGGTACCTGCTGCGTGCCAGCGATCGAGGCGCCGGCGATACCTCGGTGAGCAGAGAGACGCGGGCCCTGCCTGGTGAGGCCGCCTTTCCGGTGGGAAGTCAGACAGCAGCAGAAGTAGAGACCTCAGGTGGCATGAGCGGCAGCCGGGTGACCGGCGAGGACAGTGTGGCCGTGCCCCGAAGGGGAGATACGGCTCAGGCCGGGTGGTAATAACGCGGGAGGTGAGACGCGGTCAGATGCCGGGTGTTTGAGGGTACGGTCGACAGGATTTGCTAGACAGACGGACAGTGGGACAGATGAAGGCGAGGAGGCAGAACTCCAGGTGTCTGGCGTGAGCACACGAACGATGGTGTCATCAGCCGAGATGGGACCGTGCCACGGAGCGGGTTGGGAAAGGTTTGGGGGTTTGGATTTGGACGTGTTGATTCTGAGATGCTCGCTAGATACCCAGCTGGCGATTCCGGGCGGGCAGTTAGGTTTCTGAGTCTAGAGTCGGGTAGTCATTGGTGAGCATCAGCATCCGGGCGGTTTGAAACCTGGAGCCTGAAGACATGGCCAAGGAGGTGTGAGTGGACAGGCGCAAGGAGGCCCCGGGACGGCGAGGCGGACGGGTGGGTCTCTACGAGCCAGGCAGAGGGAAGTGTCAGGGAAGAGGAAGTGACCAAGCGTTGCACGCTACCGCTTCCGGGTCAAATTCAACGTGCCTGGGCGGCTGATGGTTGACCTTGGTTTCAGCATCGTGGGGTGGCAGCGGGTGGAGGAGAGTGAGAAGAGACAGGAGACAGTGGGTGTGGCTGGCCCGTTAGGGGTCGGTGCTGTGCAGTGGAGTCCAGAGATGCAGCCTTTATGGGTGGATGCGGGGGCAGAGGCTTTTAATTTTTACGGTGAGCGAATGTGTGTGTACAGATCAGGCTGATCCGACAGAGGGTGAGAAACTGAGATGAGGGTAGCCAAGTGGCTGCTTCTGGTTGCTTCCGTGTCCTCAGTGAGGTAGGAGTCCCAGCCACCCGCTGAACCTGTAGAAGTCTTCCAGGAGCAGGGACAGGAGCAAGGCTGCTCTCAGGACCCGGAGGAGCACGTGCTTGTCTCCAGGCCAGTCCCGGAGCGAGGGTGCAGGCTGTCACAGAGAGTGGGACTCAGCAAGGGCTCTGGCTTCGCCTGGTGCGAGGGGGCGGCAGGCCAGGCAGACACAGGAGAGGGAAGGACGTGGCGGGGCAGGGGGAGAGGGTGGCGGCTCAGTGAGTTGGTGTGCCAAGGCCACTATACCTTTTCCCCTTCCCCGTGTCAAGCCCTGAAGCCTCCCTGAGTGGCCCCTGTCCCCTCATGGCCCCGAGCAGGTGCAGCTTGACCCCACTGCTGCTGAGGGTCTTGGCCTGACAGACCGTGGGCAGCGGAGTTCTCCCAACCTGATACGGCCTGGCAGCTGCCAGCAGCCTCCGCCCCGTCCCCTCCTGGCGGTTCCCCGGACGTAGCCTCCTCTGTCCCACCCCCAGGGTCACACTCTTCTCTCCGTCTGAGGTGCCTGCCCTTCTCTGTGACGCTCCTCTCCTCCCCCTGCCTGTTCAAGCCCTCCTGTCCTGCATGGCCAGTGCAGATGCCACCACCCCCAGGAAGCCTCCCTCCCACCCCCTCTCTGTTTCTCCCTCCCCAGGGGCAGGTTTCCATTTAACCGTCGGTCACCAAAATGGCTTAAACTTCTCATATGCCCAGGGCAGGGCCTGGCCAGAGCATTGAGGAGGGTGACCCCGGACGGTCTGTTCCTGGTGCGGGAGGTGACCGGCTAATGGCAGTTCCCCTTCCCAGGTGTGCCTTCTTCCATGGTGAGGTTGACAAGCCGGCCCAGGGCTTTTTGCACCGGGGTGGGCGAAAGCCGGTGGTGGTGGCCATCAGCCTGGAGGGCGTGCATGTCATCGACAGCAGGGAGAAGGTACCTCCAGCTTCTCCAGGGTGGGACCTGGGTTGGGGGAGCAGGGAGCCTCACTGGAGAGGGCACGGGGTGCTCACACGGGCCTTCCTGCTTCTCGCGGGCTGGTGGTTGGCCCGGAGGCAGACTGGATGGCCTGTGTGGCTTCCCTCCCCCTCGGACGGTCCCTGGGACTTCCGGTGTCATCCTGGGAGCTTCCTTGGGGTCTGCTCTAGGTCAGCTTTTGTGTCATCACGCTAGGCAGGAGGGCAGCTAGGGAAAGGGGAGGCTGGGGCTGGGATTAAAGCCTCTGGGTGGAGGGGGTCTGGCCTGGCCTGGCCACTCTGCCGGACCAATGGCTGGAGACTAGCTATTGGTTTTCCAGAAAAGCCTCATGACTAGAAGCCCTCTCCGGCTGCCAGAGTCGGGCTTCTTCCCCTGTATTTGGCATAGGCTGTCGGTTGGTTCCCTGCGTAGATGGTGGTGTCGGCATCCTGCCCTGTGGGGCGGTTTCTCTGCACTTGGGCCAGAGTCTCTCCTAAGCCAGCAGAAAAGTTTTGGGTGACTTACCCCCAGAGAGGGACCCCAGCCCCTCCTGGGCACCTGTGCCCAAGTATGCTGGGCCCAGAGCCCAGCTCGGCCTGCTGAGACGCTACCCAGCTGATCCCCACCCCTTCCCCCACGTGACTGCCCCAACTGTCAGGGGCTTGACCGGCTGGTGAGTAGTGCCATGGGTCAGGGGCTCTCAGCCTCCCCAGACCACAACCCCCTTTGAGGGTTTGATGAAAGTGGGGACTCCTCCGAGAAACTCATACAGGAATTTAGACTCAGCCTTGGGGATAAATAGCCTGGCCAGGCGTCCCCTCCTAGTGTCACGTGAGCAGGCTGGGGTGGGGGAATGGACTCGGCTCCGAGAATCCAAGCTCTGTGTCTCCCGCTGGCCAGCACGTCCTGCTGGGCCTGCGTTTCCAGGAGCTGTCGTGGGACCACACCTCTCCTGAGGAGGAGGAGTCTGTCCTGTGGCTAGAGTTCGATGGGGACAACGAGGGCACCCCGGTCAACAGGCTGCTCAAGATCTACTCCAAGCAGGTAGTGGGCATTGCCTGCACCGGGGGCGAGGTCGGGGTGGGGTAGCCTGGGCTCAAGGGGTCCCAGGCTACTGGAGGCTCCGGGCTGGCTGACAAGGAGGCGAGAGGACTGCCGAGCGCCTGGGGACCAGGGGAGCTGACGTCAGCTGGGCCAGAGCCACTCTTGGGAGTCAGAGGCCCGGCTTGCAGATGCCATGCTGGGCTTGTGGCTGTGTGACCAGCCGGCACTGGCTCCAGTCCTCGAAGCCCCCTGGGAGTTGGGTGCTCTCAGAGGAGAAGTGGGCGTGGCGGGGCGAAGGCCCCTCGGCACCTTGTTTCACTCTGTGCACACGGCCCTCATCCCTGCACCTCCCTGCTGCGAGCCCAGTGGCCTCTGCCTTGCCACACCCAGTACACAGATGGCTGTCCTCCGTCCCCGGCTCAGCTTGACCGTGAGCTCTTGGCCACTCCTGTCCCCTGCAGTGGCTCCTCTGACCCCCTGGCCTATAGCATCACAAAGTCTTCCCTCTCACGGCTTTGCATACACGACTGTCCCCACTTCTGAGGATTCTGTCATTTTTACATCACTAGGCTAGACCCCTTTTCAAAGTAAATGTGTTATTGTATCATCTGTAGAGAAAAGTTACCAAATCCTAAGTGTATGGCTCAACGGGTTTTCTGAAAATAAACCCACGTAACACCTTTCAGATTGCGAAAAAGAACCGGGACCCCAGGAGACCCCTCGAGCCTCCTCCCAGCAAGGGCCCCCCCATCCTGACTTGTTTCACCCTCGAGTCTTTCTGCCTGTTTTTGAACCTTCTGGCACAGGCTCCCTCAGTTTGTTCTCTTCTGTCTGGTTTCTTCTGCTCAGTGGTGTGTTTGTGAGCTCTGTCCCCCCTGCAGGCGGCAGTGGCTTGATCTTTTGGAAGAGGCTCTCCGATGTCTCATCGTCCACGTTCACCAGCCTTGCCTTTCCCACTCCATTGCTGATGGACACTTGGATTTCCCGTTTGGGGCTGTTGCCAGCAACGCTGTCGTGATCACTGTCGTGCGTGTGCTTTGTGCGCATACGTGGGCGTCCCCCTGGGAGTGGCATGGCTGGGCCCCCAGGTCAGCACACGCTCACTTGAGGAGACACTGCCGAGCCGTCCACAGCCGTCACGCAGATGTGTGCCTGCCGCTCCCTGTCCCTCCATTTCAAGTTAATTTTTTACATGAAGTGTGATGTATAGATCAACATTCTCTCTCTCTCTCTCTCTCTCTCTCTTTTTTTCTTTTTGTTCCAGCATTATCTGTTCAAAAGACTACCCTGTCTTCATTGAATTGCCCTGTGTCTCTGTTGAAATTCAGTTGGCCAAGTGTGTGTGGGTCTATTTCTGGATTGTCTGTTCTGTGCCCTTGATCTATGTGTTTGTCTTTCACTAATAATCCTATCGTACTGATGACTGAAACTTAATAGTAAACTTGAAATCGGGTAGTATGATTTCTAGGACTTTGTTCTTTTCCAAAATTGTTTTTGACTATCCCAGTTCCTTTGCATTTCCATATAAATTTCAGGAAAAGCTTGTTGATTGTTACCCTTCCTCCCCCCAAAAAAGTCTTCTGAGATTGAGATTAAGATTCCATTGAATCTGTAGATTAATTTTGTAGAGAATTAACATCCTAAATCTTCCAGGCCAATAATTTCTACGTCTCCCTTTATTTGGCTTTGATTTCTTTCACTAGTATCTTATAGTTGTCAGCATAGAGATATTATACATCTTTTATTATATTTATCCTTAAGGTTGTCTTTTTTTTTCTTTCTTTCTCTTCCTTCCTTCCTTCCTTTCTTCCTTCCTTCCTTCCTTCCTTCCTTCCTTCCTTCCTTTCCTTGGTGCTACCCTAGATGGTACTTTTTTATTTATTTTTATTTATTTGTTTTTTTGGAACATAAAAAAATTTCTTCTTCTCTCACGTAACATTATAGGTAGGCAGTCCAGATCTGTTATTGTGAACTCAGAGTCCTTTAACTTTCTTTCTCCACCATGCATATTCTCTTCTCTTAAATTTACCTCATGGTCCAGGATGGCTGCTTCAACTCCAGCCATCACATCTACATGCTCCACAACAGGAAGAAGAAAAAGGGAGAGGCAAACATTCCCTCTTTAAATATCAATTTTCGGTTCATTGTGGTATGTAGAAGTACAGTTGATTTGGAGGCACCTGGGTACCTAGGTTGAGCATCTGTCTGACCCTTGATTTCAGTTTAGGTCATGATCCCAGGGTTGTGGAATCGAGCCCCGCATTGGGCTCTGCTGAGCTTAGAGCCTGCTTAAGATCCTCTCTCTCTCCCTCTGCCCCTTTCCTGTGCTCACTCTTTCTCTAAAAGAAAAAAACAAAAAGAAATACAATTGATTGTGTTATCTACACATTCATATATCCTGCAACTTTGTTAAATTCACTCGCTGGTTTTAATAGTTTTGTTGCAGACTCTTTGGGGTTTTCTCTGTAGACAGTCATGTCATGTGTATTCTGACCCAACAGTGTGTGTGCCTCTGTTTGTCTTGACTGATTCCACTCCTGGACTTCCAGTACAGTGTTGAGTAGGTGTGAGCAGACATCCTGACTTGCTTCTGACCTTGGGCGGGAGTTTGTTTGGTCTTGCTCGAAATACGTATGGTGTTAGCTGCAGGTTTTTCCCAAACACCCCCATCTGGTCGAGGAAGGCTAATAGTCCCTTCCGTTACTGGTCTGCCAGGCTTTATCCTGAATGGATATTAATTTGGTCAGATGTGGGGTCGTTTTAATGGCAGGCTCCCTGGACCTCTGAAGCATCACGCTGTGATTGAGGTTTTGTTCCAGGGAACTTTGAGGGCTTCCCTGTTGTGCTTACAGCCCGTATCCTCTGTCCCCACTGGCTGTCCTCCCACTCACCAGCCAATCTTTGCATGAGAAAAGGAGGCAGGCGTGGAGAATGGATGCCGGCTTTTCCTTCTGGGCCCAGGCAGCGTTTCCTGCCCTGCCCCCCTCCCAGGGCGGGTTGTGTTGCTCCGGAGAGGCCTCTGGCTGCACCGTGCGGGCACAGGTGCCAGGCCGCTGTTCTGTCAGCGGGGGGCCATCCCCTTGGCCCCTGACCCCCAACCTCTCGTGGGGACTCTTCTTGGGAGCACGAGGCAGGCATTCGGTCCTCCTCGGTCACTGCTGTGTCCCACTGTCTATAGTAGACCTGGCACGGGGTAGGCACTCGGTGAGGATGTTGTCTAACCAAGGGACTCCACCTGCTGACGGCTGGCTGTCCGTGGACCCACCAGACCCCTGGTGTCCCCATCACATGGTGTCTGGACTGTGCTCACTGACACCTGGTCTCTTCACCTTTTATGTCAATATGCGTTATGTTTAAAATTGGTTGAGAAGGTGTCGCCTTTGAAGAACGTGCTCAGAGGGCGTCCCCCACCCTCAGCCCTGTGACCTGACCACCACCGCCTTCCTCATGGGCCTGCAGGTTCTTCTCTCAGACAGCTCCCTCCATTCCTTCCACCCAGGACGCCCCGCCTGAGCCCTCTTCCTGCCTTCCTTATCGTCTCCGCGCAGCCGAGTTTCTTTCCCATCTGGCCTGACTGCTGCCACCCATGGCACTCGGCCTTCCTGCCTAGAATGCTCTTTCTCGCCCAGCCCACCTCCCAGACCTGAGACAGGGACCCCTACTCATCCTCCAGGACTGACCTCCGAAGTCACCCCAGGTGGATGCCTCCCCTGTCCCTCTGCCCACAGAGCACCTGACCCCCCTTCCTTTATTATGTAAATGGCATTTGTTTCCGCCTCGGCCTCCCCCAGCAGAAGGCAGGGGCCCGTCCATCTTATCCGTCTCGCCCTGCAGAGTATGGGAAGGCCATGTCCTGGGCCATGGCTCACCGCCCAGGCCTCAGGGTGGCCCCTTTCTACCCCCCAGGCTGAGCTGATGAGCGGCCTCATCGAGTACTGCATCGAGCTGAACCAGACTTCAGAGCTCGCCGCCCCCCAGGAGACTGTGTCCGGCCCGCCCTCGGCCGCCAGCTCCCTGCCATCTTCTGCTCAGCGCCCGCAGCTGCAGAGGCAGGGCAGCGTGGTGTGCAGCCGCCTCCAGCATCTCTCCACCATCGACTACGTGGAGGAAGGTGAGCCTGAGCACACGTACACACACGACGTGCACACGCACACACGACACGCGCGTGCACATGCACATATGCGCGCCACGGGGAGCCCCGGGGACAGCGAGGTAGGGTCCAGTTGCCAGGAGTGGAGAAGGGAGAAGGAGTGAAGCTGGGTGAGGGTCGCATCTTGTGAGCTCTGTGATTGGCAATGGGGGCCTCTGGGGCCCTGGCGGGAGAGTCCTTTTCTGGCCCTGTCACTGTTGCGTCCACAGATGTTCCCTGCAGCAGTGTCCAGATGTGACAAACTAGAAATGAACGACGTCGGTTAGTTCGGTGTGGGGACAGAAACAAGGGGGCCACATCCAGTAGAATCAGGGCAGCTGGTAAAAAAGAGGGCTGAGTGCAGGGTGATGTCCCAGTCCGGGCCCTGGAGCACACAGAGGACGTTTATAAGGAAACTGGGGAAGTCCCGAAGTATGTAGTTCAGTTCATCATATCGTACTGGGGTTTATGTTTTAGTTTTGGCAAATGTGAGACGGTGACGGAGGATGCCAGCCTCAGGAGAAGCCAGATGAGGGCAAATGGGAACTGTTTGTATGATTATCTTTGCAACTTCTGATAAATCTGGTTTTATTCCAAAATAAGAAGATTTTAAACGCAATAACAAAGACCTACGTTTAAATGGCAAGATGCCGGGGCGCCTGGGTGGCTCAGTCAGTTGAGCATCCAACTTCAGCTCAGGTCACGATCTTACGACTTGTGGGTTTGAGCCCCACATCAGGCTCTGTGCTGACAGCTCAGAGCCTGGAGCCTGCTTCTGTTTGTGTCTCCCTCTCTCTCTCTCTGCCCCTCCCCTGCTCACATTCTGCCTCTCTCTCTCTTTCTCTCTCTCTGTCAAAAATTAAACATTAAAAAAATTTTAATAAATGGCAAGATGTTCACAAAATAAGACCAAGTAATAAAAATCAGGTAATAGGACAGCCCACGTAAGACTGCATCCGTGTGCAGGAGGAGGGGGATGTGCCAGCCCTGGTGGTGAATTGTTGTAACTTTCGCTTTTTCTTTGTGCGTCTTTGCAGTATTTACATATTTTATGACAGGCACATCATTTTTTAAAAACTTTTTTGAAGTTTATTTATTTTTGAGAGACAGAGCAAGTGCAGGAGGGGCAGAGAGAAAGGGAGAGAGAGAATCCCAAGCAGGCTCTGTACTGTCAGTGCAGAGCCCAATGCGGGGCTTGAACTCACAAACTGTGAGATGGTGACCTGAGCCAAAACCACAAGTCAGACGCTTGATTGACTGAGCCACCCAGGCACCCCTACATTTTTTACGAGAAGCACGCCATTTTTTTAAAATCTGTATTTATTTTTTTTTGAGAGAGAGAAACAGAGCACGAGTGGGGGAGGGGCAAAGAGAGAGGGAGAGGCAGAATCCGAAGCAGGCTCCAGGCTCCGATCTGTCAGCACAGAACCCGACGCGGGGCTCGAACTCACAAATGGTGAGATCATGACCTGAGCCGACGTTGGACACGTAACTTATGAGCCACCCGGGTGCCCCAAGCACATCATCTTTTATAATCAGAAACAGCAAAATAATTTTTCAATAATGTAACTGTTTCCCCCATTGTAGTCTTTCTTGGAATGGCCAGCAGGCACTGTCACCCAGCTCCCTGGTGTGGGACATGACCGTTATCTCCAGTTGTGAGCCACTACAAACAATGTAGCCGTGGCTAAATCCTTGCTTAGAATCCAAACCGATTCCTTGAGACAAATTCCTAGAGACGGCGTTGCGGTATCAGACCGCGTGCCCGCTTGTGCCCCTCCCAGTAGACAACGCGCACGGGCCTCCACCCCCTCTCTGTCACACTGAAAGAGACCTTTTTGGGTTTGTATTTGAATATCAGTGAAGTTGGACCATTTTTATGTGCTTGGATTATTGTTCATTTCTGGTGTCTATTTTTCTTTCGTTGCTTGATTTTTTTTAGTTAGCATCGTATGTTAGTTAATGTGGTATGTTTGTTAATAATTAACGAGCCAATACTGATACAGTATTATTATTAAAACCTTTCTTTTTTTTTTAATGTTTATTTATTTTTGACAGAGAGAGAGAGAGAGACAGAACATGAACAGGGGAGGGTCAGAGAGAGAGGGAGACACAGAATCTGAAACAGGCTCCAGGCTCCGAGCTGTCAGCACAGAGCCCGACGCGGGGCTCGAACTCACAAACCGCGAGATCATGACCTGAGCCGAAGTCGGACGCTCAACCGACTGAGCCACCCAGGCGCCCCTAAAGTCCTTCATCCTAACCTAATGTCCCTTTTCAAGGTGGCAGGATCCCATCCAAGACACTATACTACACTTAGCTTCGTGTCTCTGTAGGCACCTCTGGGCCGTGGTAGCTTCTCAGATTTCCCTTGTTTTTGATGACCTTGACAGTTTTGAGGACGACTCTGTGGGGATATTGTAGGATGCCGTGTTATTGGAATTTGCCTGATGTTTTTCTCGTGATTAGGCAGGAGCTGTGGGCTGGGGAGGGAGATCACAGAGGTAAAAAGTGCCATTTTTATCACATCACATCAAAGGTGCATTATCAACATGACTTGTGACAGTTGGTGTTGACCTTGGTCACCTGGCCTGAAATTCTAACTTGGAAGAATTCCTTCTGTCTTCTCGAGGTTTACCTCGAACCAGTTGTCTGTGTTGTAGGTGTTTTGTTTCTTTGGTCTGTGCTTTTGTTTATTTTTGAGAGAGAGAGAGAGCAAGAGCGCAAGCAGGGGGGTGGCAGAGAGGGGGACAGAGGATCCGAAGCAGGGTCCGCACTGACAGCAGAGAGCCCGATGCGGGGCTCGAACTCACGAACCGTGAGATCAACCCGAGCTGAGGTCGGACGTTAACCGACTGAGCCACCCAGGGGCCCCTCTTTGGTCTGTTCTTGAACTGGGTTTAACAAAAGCTCCTCAGACAGCACAGCTGGCCCAGCATCAAATGAAAACCCGAAACGGCCTCCGATTTGCAAGGCTGGCCGCACTCCCCGCCCTCCCCATCGTGGGCAGAAGAGTTGGGGTCCGGGACTGAGGCTCAGATAGTTGGTGGATGCGGTGAGGGGGACTGGGTCTGCACCGGCTCTGGAAGGAGCCAGGCCCTGGAGCCGGAATCCAGGCTCCCGGGGGGGCGCGGACCAGCCCACCCCGGGAAGCCCTCCCTCAGCGCGGTCCTCTTGTTCCTTGATAGGTCAGCAGATCAAGCGGGTGAAACCGAAGCGCACCACGTCCTTCTTCAGCCGGCAGCTGTCCGTGGGCCAGGGGAGCTACACCGTGGTGCAGCCCGCTGACAGCCTGGAGCAGGGCTGAGGGCAGCGGCGCCAGGCGGGGGGTGGCACCCGGAGGCCCCCTGGGGCCTGGCCGAGGGCCCTTCTCCCCGAGGGGCGGGACCAGGCTGCGGCTCTGGCGTCGGGCAAGAGGGCCACCTCGAGCGGGAGGAAGTGGCTTCTGTGCCTGGGATGGGACGCGGGCTGCGTGGAGCTGGCGGGGGGCTCCTGCAGGGTCTTTTTTGGACTTCCCCTGGACTCGGCCCCACTGCCGTCTCAGGAGCATCTGAGGAGGCTCTGGCCGCCTCCCCCCAGCCAGGGACTTGTCTTCGTGCCCCTCTCGAGATGGACAGTGTCCCCTGCTCTGAAGTCCTCAGTGGCGGCTCTGATGGCAGGTGGCCGATGAATAGGGTTCGGGACCGGTAGATCCAGTGTGTGTCTTTGGTCTCTTCCCTGGACTTTGGTGACCACATCCCTGCATTCCTTCTGCCGCGCCCCCCCCCCACCCCCCTGCCCCGCAACCTGCTGCCAGTCTGGGCATGGCTCTTTGGGCGGGAAGGGGCCCTCGTGCATTGAACCACAGAAGGAACAGAGAAGGCGAGGCCCCTCACCCATACCCTCCCTTGCCGAATGAAACTAGAGGGAGCCAGGCAGGGCCTGGCTCAGGGGTCATTCTGTGCCCCTCACTCAGGCCCCTTGTGCCAGGACACCCTCTGACCGGAAGGAAAATGCCTTTTTGCCAGCCTTTGGTGACCACGCTGTGCCGGGAGGTGGCTGTCCTGTGGACCAACACGCCACCAGACCCACACTTCACACTTGGACAGGCTCCCAGCCACCCTGGGCTTCAGGTTTTGGTTTTGCTCCTTTTTCATCTGCTTTAGTTCTGCGAAGCCTGTGGCCTCTGGGGGCAACTTGAGAGAATGCTCCCGCCAACCTCAGAGCTACTGGCTTTCCTTCAAGACAGCGCCATGGTGTCCATCCGCGTGACCCTTTGGGGTGGCCTGTGCGCGAGGATGTCCCGTGCGAGCTGGTCTCATCTTTGCGGGGACATTGTAGGGAGGCTGGATGTGGCACTGGGTGTGGCTTTTCCCCTGCCTCACGTTCCTGTCTTCGCCCAGAGGAGCCAGGCTAGCAGAGGGCCTTCCCAGCCCCTCGGCTCCTCCGTGGTGGCTCCATGGCTCTCACGGCGCTTGCTGGGACTTTCCGCGGGGAAGAGGCAGGCCCAGCAGAGCACTGGGCTCGGCCTTGTTCTCCCCTCCCCTGGAGAGCCTGGGCAGAGGAAACGCGAACTTGGCTCCAGGGGTGGAGCCCACTCACTTCCTCTTCCTTTTGGTGACTTTTGCACACTCCAGATGTTCTGAGGGGGGCTGGCCTCCGGCAGTAGGGACTTGTGTTGCTTGTTATAATAAAAAGGTATCCGAGCCTTCTGGAATGTCCCAGCCAGAGAACATCTTATCTCCCCTCCTGGAATCACTGGACCCGAGTGGCTGCCCGGCCTGCCCGGCACGCAGCCATCTGGTTATCTCTTCCCACTCGCTGTTTTGACCCAGGTGAATGTTTATCTGCTGGTCTGGCTGCGAGGGGCGGGTGTGGACCCATTACTTGTTTTTACTGTTCGGCCTCTCTGCTGTTCTCTGAGCATCCCTTGTGACGTGACCTTTTCTGCCTGGCCTTTGGGACAAAGCAGTATTTCACCAAGTGCCCTTTGAATATTCTCATTCTTTTGTATCATGTGACTCATTAACAATAAATGAATTTCCAGCAAACTCCGGGTGGTTCACGTTATGAAATACCAGGAGTGTGTTAAGTACAGCCTGTGAGTTGATTATAGGCTGCATGTTTGCTTTTTATTGAATACGTGTCAAGGTATGCAGCTCTCTGGGCCGCAGAGTGGAATTCGATGGAGAACCCAGAGTGAGGTTTTCCAGTGTCGGTGGCTGGCCAGGGACTCCCAGGGTAAGAAGGTCCAGGAGGGGTTTGGTGGTTCATGGTGGGAACCAAGGGGGTAGGTCTGCAGGGAGGCAGGGGAACGAAGCACCGATGGTGGGCAGGCCTTTGTCCCCTGTCCCTCATGGCCTAAGCCATACTGCCATGGCCTGTCAGACCCCTGCCCTCCCGTTCCTCTTCACACCTCGGGGTTGGGGCTGAGGGCACAGTCTGGACACCAGTGCCTAGCCGAGAGGCCAGAGAACCCAGGAGGTTTTTGGGGTGATTTTTGTGCCCACCCCGAGGATGCCTCGTGCCCCAGGCCTCGCCAGGAAGTGGTTTGTTGGCCATAGATCCTGTCCTGGGCGCCCACAGGCTTTGGCCCTGGAGGGTGAGCACCGTGTGGGGTTTGGAGTTCACACTTGAGCGGGTTGGGAGCCAGAAGGAGCAAGTCACACGTCTCTGCGGCCGTGAGGTCCTGGGACTAGGGCCCCTCCCCCATCCTGCCTTCCTCCGTGAGGTCCGCCATCTGGCAAGGGCAGCATGATGCACGATTGTGGGCGCTTCCTGGGGCCTCCGCTCCTTGCCCTTTAAGAAGGCCACGATAATAGTACCCGTCTCAGAGGGTTGTTGGGGTGCTTGAGGGTCTGGCGATGACTAGGCACTTGATGGGTGTTAGCTATTTTCGTCTCTACAAGTCACATGTCTGGACACGGGCAGGGAGAACAGGATCCACCCGAGAGGCCAGGGCCTGCCGACAGCGCGGACACCCCCACTCTGGTGGGCGAGGGGGTACCAACGGCCCGGAGCCTGGCCCACCTGGAGCCCCTTCCTCTTTCCCGGGCCCGTCAGCCCTCGCCACCTGTATTCGTTTCCTGCGGCCGCTGTAACAAATGGGCACAACCTTAGTGGCTGAAAACCACACACACTCATCACCTCACAGTTCTGTAGCCCCAAGTCCGACATGAGTCTCACTGGACTAAGGTCAAGGTATCGACAGGGCCTCATTGCTTCTGGGGCTTCCAGGGGAGAAGCGGTTTTCCTTTCCTTTTGCGGCTTCTGGAGGCAGCCTGCTCTCCTTGCCTGGTGGCCCCTTCCTCCATGCGGGGTCCTCACATCTCTCTCTTCTCCCCTCACAAGGTCTAGGGGCCCGTGTGATCACACCGAGCCAGTGTGGACAGTCCGGGTTCATCTCCCTGTCAACAGCCGCTGACTAGCACCTGGCACCCCTCTTTGCCACATAACCTAACACTCGCAGGCTCTGGGCACCGGGACACAGACATCTTGGAGGGACCTTATTCTGCCTACCGCGCCGCCCCTCCCGCCACAGCCCTGCCAGACTTCGTTTGCCTCCCCTGCCGTCTCTGACCAGGCCTCGTCCCACACCCTGCACCGGTGGCCTGGCGAGCAGCAGCGGCTGCCTGTCCGTGGGCAGGCTCAAGCTGACTGGGGGACCCCCTTCCAGGACCACCGCCAGTTCTCCAGCTGGTTCACGGGCCTAAGTTCAGAATGTGCACCCCCCACCGCCCCCCCCGCCCCCTGGAGCCACATACCGCTTCAGCCATCAGCGGGCTGGCCCTCACAGAAGGGCCTTTGTGCTCCCTCTGTAGCCACCGCGCACGACAGCAGGAGAAGACGCTGTCCACCCTACACTATGTGTCCTGTCCCCCTCCACCCCCGGGCCGGCTGACCCTTACAAACCGCCCCCTGTGACCTATACGGGACCCGGCGGGAGGAGAGGGAGAGGCTGGCTGCCGGGGAGGCCTTTCCATTCTCTGAGGGCTCGGCTCCGAGCCTGTGATCCCAATTCCAGGCACCCTTGAGATGGCCAAAGAGGGGCCCGGGGAGGGAGCCCAGCTGAGAACCAGATCCCCTTGGGGAGCGCGGCTCTGCATGGCAAGGCGGCTGCCAGAAGTTCCCCTGGAAGTCGGCTTCCTGGTCTGGGAGGCGCTCTGCCCCCTTTTTATCCACTCAGGCATCTTCCCACACTGTGTAGTGCTCTCCCTCTGTGTCCCCCATGGGTCTTGGGTTACGCATCCCCCTGAGGTGGCACCAGCCCAAGTCCCTGCTCCGAGCAGGGGGCCAGCAACACCTGACTGGATGGTGAGGACGGCAACATGAACAGCAGGGCCTCTGCCGCGTCCTTCCACCCTCCCACCCCCCTACCACCCCCCACCTCTCCCCCCCATCCCAGATCTTCTGCACACAGACGAGGGCCTGCCCAGAGCCTGCCATCTGGAATGAACGAAGGCCAAGCATCAGGGCCCTCCCTCCTAAGGCTCTGAGAGGGCCTATCAGTGTGTTCAGGGGTTTTGTAAAATATGCAGAAGTAGGATTTAAAGATTATTTTTCTGAAGGGACCTTCAGAAACTAAAACTAAAACCTAAACTTCATAAGCTATAGTCCACACAAATCCTAGATTGGTCTCTGCCCACCCAGAGATATTGGCCCCACTTGGTTTTAAACTTTTTTGTTTGGGGGGCACCTGAGTGGCTCAGTCAGTTAAGCGTCTGACTTCGGCTCACGTCGTGATCTCGTGGTTCATGAGTTCGAGCCCCGTTTTGGGCTGTGTGCTGACAGCTCAGAGCCTGGAGCCTGCTTCGGATTCCGTGTCTCCCTCTGTCTCTCTGCCCCCACCCTGCTCATGCTCTGTCTCTCTCACAAAAGTAAATAAACTTTAAAAAAAATTGTTTAAATAAATAAATAAAGCTTTTGTTTTTATTTTGAAAGAGAGAGCGTGCACGCAAGTGGGAGCGGGGCAGAGAAAGAAGGAGAGAGAATCCCAAACAGGCTCTGTCAGCGCAGAGCCTGACGCGGGTCTCAAACTCGTGAACTGTGAGATTAGGACCTGAGCTGAAATCAAGAGCCGGATGCTTAACCCACAGCCACCCAGGTGCCCCTCCACTTGTTTTTAGAGCATACCCCACCATCTCCCCACTCGGGGGCTTGGCTCGGCACTCTTTAACCCCCTCCCCACCTTGGCTTCTCAACAACCTCCCCCCCCAGCCCACATTCCCTTCACTCAAGCTTCTCACCCTGGACAGGTGACTTCCCCCGGGATCAGATCTTTCTCCCTGGGGAGGCCAAGACCCCATTCGTTGTCTGACTCCTCCTCCCTGCTGTGCAGCCTTAGGCAAATTATATCACCTTTCTGGGCCTCCATTTCCTCATCTCTAAAATGGGGACGGTAGCAATACCTACTCCTCCCCTTCGTGGGGGAGGTATGATGCCTGTCTAATGGTTTCTTCCCACGCCCAAGGGCAGAGCACTGTGTTTTGCACACCACTGCAAATGAGAGGCAGGCACCTGTTTGCAGAGGCAGGAGAGGTGGTGGCAGAGTCAGGATCCCCCACCATTGTGAGGCCGGAAGTCCTCTCCATGAACCCCAGTTTCTTCCTCCGTGAAGTGAAGACGATCACCCCTCCTTTATGAAGTTGTGAGTGATGTTGGGTAACAGATGTGAAACCACCTGGAACCCGCGTGGCTGTATCTTTATGTGATTTTGTCAGGCTCGTCCATTCACTCATCCCTGAAGACGGACCGTGTTCCAGAAGTCATTTTCATGCATCTCTCTTCCACCTGCCTTAGGTTCCTGGGGCTGTCATAACAAAGTGCCCCAAGCTGGTGGGCTTCAAACAATAGAAATTTATGGTCTCACAGTTCTGGAAGGCAGAAGTCCGAAACCAGGAGGTCGGCAGGGCCATGCTCCCTCTGAAAGCCGCAGAGGAATGCTTCCTTCCCCTTCCTAGCTTCCGGTGCTTTTCTGGCAATCCTTGGCTTGCGCCGCATAAACCCAATCCCTGCCTTCATCACATGGCTCCTCCCTGCGTGTGTCTGTCTTCCTGTCGCCGTCTTCTTAAAAGGCCACCGGTCATGTTGGGTTGGGGGCACACCTTCTGCCACTTCATCTTAACTCAGTACGTCTGCAACAACCCTATTTCCAACTGAGGTCACATTCTGAGGTCCCAAGAGTTAGGACTTGAACACATCTTTTTGCAGGGGACCCAATTCAACCTGTAACACCACCCTAATAGATTACTATCTTGGTCTCCTTTGGTGGGGCTTTTTAGTGCATCAAAGTTTGTTATTTTAAAGTTTATTGGGGCACCTGGGTGGCTCAGTCAGTTGGGCGTCCAACTTTGGCCCGGGTCATGATCCCCGTGCTTTGTGGGTCCAAGCCCCTCCTCGGGCTCTGTGCTGACAGGCTCGGAGCCTAGAGTCTGCTTTGGATCCTGTGTCTCCCTCTCTCTCTGCCCCTCCCCCACTCTGTCTCTCTGTCTCCCAAAATAAATAAATGTTAAAAAAAAATGATAAAGTTTATTTATTTGAGAGAAAAAGAGAGAGCACGAGCACACAGTAGTGGGGGTGGGGTGGGGGGGTGTGGCAGGGAGAGAAGGGGAGAGAGAATCCCAAGCAGGCTCCAAGCTGTCAGCGCAGAGCCCGATGTGGGGCTCATGCTCACGAACTGTGAGATCATGACTTGAGCCGAAATCAGGAGTTGGACACTTAACCGACTGAGCCACCCAGGTGCCCAAAAGTTTGTTTTTAAAATACCAGCAATAGAGCCTGAATACCAGCAAGAGAGCCTGCTTGGGATTCTCTCCTCTCTCTCTCTCTCTCTCTCTCTCTCTCTGCCCCTATCCATGCTTTCGTGCTCTCTCTCAAAATAAACAACTAAACATTTTTAAAAAATAATAAAATAAGGGATGCCTGGGTAGCTCAGTGGGTTAAGCGTCTGACTTCAGCTCAGGTCATGATCTCGCGGTTCATGGGTTCAAGCCCCGCATCGGGCTCTGTGCTGACAGCTCGGAGCCTCAGATTCTGTGTCTCCCTCTCTCTC